TCCAGATTTATTAAATAAATAAGATGGTGGGTGGCATTAATAAAAAAGGGAGGGGGGTTGGAAATCCCTGAATGATCTGCCCCTTCTGCAAAGCTGACAAAGAAAACATCCTGATAAAATCAGTGCTTGTATTTTAGAACAGACCACCTGAACACCTTGGGCTTTTATACATTTTTAAAATAGTTTTTATGTATTGAGTATAAAGTAAAAAGGGAAAAATAGATCCTTTAGATAAAAAAATATGGTATGCCATCCCAGCCAGATCCAAGCTTAGATTTTTTTTAAGTTCCATTCCAGCCATATTGCAAACATATACACAAATCACAAACAACACAAAAATAGGAAAAACATAAAGATTTCCTTTGTTTTTGGAAAATAGAATGGGAAACAACAGAAAGTTCTCAGAAATACAAATATTGTTTCATAATTGCTAACATGTCCTTTAGACATTAAGATAGATTTCTGTTTATAGTCTTAATAATTGCTAATATATCTCCTTTAGGCATTGAGATATACTTCTATTTATAATTTTAATACAGCTTTATTTTTACTCTTTATAAAAATAAGGTCTCCCAATAAAAACAGGGTATTTTACCAAACTAATCTATAATTTCCATCATTAAAATATAGGTATACATCCCAATTTCTAATTTCTTAGAACATTTGGCACAATAGGTTTGAGTCATTGGAATGAACAATTGCTCGGGAAAGCAGCACTGCCTCATTCAGGATGATCTGGTAGTCAACATTCATGTTCCAGTAAAATGGAAATTTCATGAGCAGAAACATTGAGCTCCTTGAGCATACATCAGTGAAGAGAATGTTTCTGAGCGCTTCTGAGCAAATTACAACTTAACCAGTTGGTCCCAGATCTGGGGTCTTCACTCCTTTTTACAGCTCTGCCAGACACAATCATGTAAGCCCCTTTTTAATCAAGTTATTTATTTTATTGCTGTTGAGTTATAGGAGCACCTTATATAGTTTGGATATTAATGATTTATGAAATACATCATTTTCAAATATTTTCTCCCATTACAAAGGTTGACTTTTCACTTCGTTGATTGTTTACTTTGCTATCCAAAAACTTTAGTTTGATGTGGTCCCACTGTATATTTTTGCTTTTGTCGCCTGTGATTTTGATGTTATATCCAAGAAATCTTGCTAAGACCAATGTCGTGAAGCTTTCCCCTCTGTTCTTCTAAGAATTTTATAGACTCAAGTCTTACATTTAAGTCTTTAATCCATCTTGAGTTGTATGGTGTAAGACAAGTGTCCAATTTTATTTTTTTGCAGATGGATATCCACCATTTGTCTTTTTTTTTTTTAACCATTGTATAGTCTTGATGTTCTGATCAAATATCATCTGACTGTGTATGTGGGGGGTTATTTCTGGGCTCTCTATTCTGTTCTATTGTTCTATATGTCTGTATTTATGTCAGTACTGTACTCTTTTGATTACTGAAGCTTTGTAATATGTTTTGAAATCAGAAAATGTAAGGCATTCAACATCTTTGTTCTTCTTTCTCAATATGGTTTTGGCTATTCAGGATCCTTTGTGGTTCCATATGAATTTTAGGATTTTTTTCCTATAAAAATGCCATTGGGATTTTGATAGAAATTTCATTGAATTTGTAGGTGACTTTGGGTAGTATGGACATTTTAACAACACTAAGTCTTCCAGTACATGAACACTTTTTTATCTTTCATTTATTTGTGTCTTCTTTCTTTTCTTTCAGCAATGTTTTATAGTTTTAAGGGTAGATAGATGCCTTTCACCTCTTTGGTTAAATTTATTTCTAACTCTTTTATTATGTTTGATATTATTGTAAATGGGATTGTTTTCTTAATTTCCTTTTCAGATTGTTCATTGTTAGTGTAATTGATTTTCACCTGTTGATTTTTGTCCCACAACTTTGCTGAGTTCATTTATTCTATCAGTTTCTTGTGTACAATCTTTTAGAATCTACTCTTTTCCTCATTTCATAACTTCTTTTTTATTTATTAATTTGTTTTCTAATTAAGAATGCATGCAAGAAAAACAGTAAAATCTACAAAAATATCAACATTTAAAAAATTCTCCCTTTAATTTGATGGTGTGATTCAATATAAAATTCTAAGTTCAAAGTAATTTGCCTCGTATTGTTCATAGTATTTCTGAGAGAAAAGTCTGATGCCATTCTATGCAGTCATGTTTGTGTGTATGCAGTATGCAGGGAGGATTTCTGAAATGAACAATAGTTAGTGCCTGTGTTTTCAGCTCCAACTCTTACTTTACTTCTTTGTTGAGTGTGAGCCCTTCTCTGAGTCCAGAACTCTTTGGAATTCTACTGGGTGGGCCAGATCCCTCCTCCACTGTAGCTGATATTTAAAAGTGGACTGCCTAGTTTCAAATTCTGGCTCTGACTTTGTCAGCTTGTGTCCCCTTAGCCAAGTCACTTGTCCCTCTTTATTTTCATATGCATAATAGTAGTATTTTAAGGATTGTAGGTACAAGTACTATTATTGCTATTATTCTTCTGTTTGGCTTTTTTAAACATCTTGCTTTTCATATTTCATTGGTTTACATATCTCTTTTGTTGATATTTCCAGCATGTTTATTTTTATACTATTCCTTTGCTTTAATGAACTCTGGGTAATGAGAGGAAAGAAGTATGTGAGTTCAGTCCTTTTTAAGTCAGAAGCAGATCTGGTTCTCAATTTTAGAAAATATTCAGCAATTTAATGGCTTTAGTGTTATTTCTTTAAAAAATAATTTACATTTTTAAATAAATTATTCTCTTTTTATGCATATAGTAGTATCTTTAGTATATTTTCCCAGTGATCTAATGACCCAGAGCCAAAAACAGGAAATTTTTTTCTGTAGATTTGTAGCAATAGTAGCAAAACTCTTCTAATGCTGGCTAAAGTTTAAATCTCTTGAAGCATTGAAGTAAAACCTCTTTGCAGCACTGGAAGTAAAATGAAAAGAGCATCAGCATGTGAGAGAAGGCCTAGTGTTCTCTTCGTGTTACATCAAGGTGAAAGTTAATAGTTTTACTGCATTTTGTGAAAGACTGAAAAAGTGAACCAGAATTAATACTGATAGTGATCATGATATGATAGCAGCCACAGTTTCAAAACTGCCTAAATACATACCAAGCAATTCATATATATCAAGTTACTTAATCTTCACAATAGAATGCTTGAATAATTTGCTCATGGCCACACAGCCAGTAAAGAACAGAGCTTTCTGACACAAAGGCCTGTCTTCCATGACTACATAGGGCCAATTTGGGACTTTGGAACCTATAGCTTTGAATAGCCTGCATTGATAAATGTCTATTACAGCATGTTAGGTACTTTCGTTTCCCTTTTGCTATAGCTTCTCCCTCTGTAGTCATAGAGGTCATTGCAGCTACCCGTGGTAGCTAGTGCTTGCATATCCATTCCCTTAAAATCCTGTCACCAAGTTTCTCATTGGAACCATCTGTCCTCTTAGAGGCTCAGCGCTGAGTGAGCTCAGCTGGAAATCCTCTAACCTCCCTTAGTGAGAGGAGGAACCATGCTGTCCATATTGCCAAAGTCAGGTGGATCTTCTTGCCATAATAGACACTCAAGTGTGAGTGTTCAGTAATGAGTGAGTAGTGGTAAAGAAAACAGATTAAGTTCCTGATGTTGAAGAGTGACCGTTGCTTAGGCAGAGAGATTTACTAAGTAGAAACTGGAAGATACTTTCCTACAGAGGTAATGTTAGAAATGGTAGGTAGGTCCTACAGTTCTGTTAATTCCACTATAACTTCGGTACAACTAATTTTCATTTTATGCAGCATATGTGGGTTAATCTGGAAGCCCAACCACAATTTATAAAATGTTTCTATAAGAAAAAGCTTTCCGAAAAACTAATACTAGGATTGTGAATGAATTTTTGGAAATAAATCACTTGTAAATTGAAGTTAACTTTCTAAAGCCTTTAATTTATTGGTTACCATTTCTTGTGTTTTCTCATTGAGTAATAAAGTTATAAAGAACATGAGATCAGAAACTATTTTCTATTACATAATAATATCACTCTTTGTTATTCTCTCTGCTGCTATTCCCACCCAGCAATTATTGTGGTTTCTTATATGTAGTAGATACTCAAAAACTTATGTGTATTGATTGTTCTATATTTAATATGGCTATCACTCAGAATAAAAATAGTATGTCCTTACTGGTTGTACCAGTCTGCAGTCCCTCCAACAGTGCACTAGGGTTCCCTTTTCTCCACAACCTCTCCAACACTTTTTGTTTGTTGCGTTTATGATGGCCATTCTCACTGGTGTGAAGTGGTATCTCATTGTGGTTTTAATTTGCATTTCTCTGATAGCTAGCAATATTGAGCTTCTTTTCATGTGCTGGGATGGGAGTAAAAGACAGAAAACTGTATTTGAACAAAAATTAAATAACAAAAAACCCTACACTCAAGTATTATCTTCAATACTGGGGGGGGGGGGATAGTATGTCCTGAGATATCTAGACTTCAAACTAGCTTTAATTTTGAATCACATAGCAAAGTTATTAATGATCTTTATAATATGAATTAAATAACTCCAACTTCAGTTATATATTTTATAATATTAAAAAATAAGTAAACTATAACATAGATTTGGATGTTTAGGTTTTTTTCCCTCTTGACTTATGATTTAGAGACAAATGGTCATTTTAAAGTCTAGAAGGCATGCAGACTTGGAAAGTCCCCAAAGCCCTGTGTTCTAACCTTCACTTTAAAAAACTTTCTTTGACTGGGACAGAGAGGGAATGACCTCTTCCCAGGAAACACTATGGAGCAGTCTAGTGCCCTGGAAATACATCTCTTCTGCTTTCTGGAAATGGTCTATCCCAGAATAGTGTAGGATGACCTAACCTCATCTCTTAGTTGGAGGAAGGTCATGACTAGGGAAGAAAGACATATTCCACATTTGCTTAGAGTACAATGACAAAAAAGATGCTTATTTCACAAACTGCATATTTTGCCTTTTCAGATGTAACTGTGTGGAACCCCATAATCCCAGCAATGACACACTAAAGGAATGGAGGGAGTCCAATGTTTCTGCCTCTGACATAATTTGGGAGAACCTAACTGTGTCAGTAAGTGAGACATTGAAAAAAAGTCATATTTTGAATTGCATTATGGTTTGGGGGCTTTTGTTAACATTGTGAGTGAATTATCACCACTAATGTAATTTTTTTTGAATACATACTACTGTAAAAGTGTTGTTTTTTTCCTTAATTTTACTTGTTTTAAGTATTCATCAGTAAACTGAGGTTTTCTTTCACTATTAAATTTTTCTAATAGTCAGTAGGCCTAAATTGCTCTACAAGCACACATACACATAATGTGAGTAGACTAACTGAAGGCATATTAACTAAGAACGGTGTTGACCTACATGAAACCATATGGCAGAATTAAGTTGGCTTTCTGTGTAAAGAAACTCAAACTCTTCTACTTTGCTCTGTAATACTGCTCCAGCTGTTCAGAATATGCTGATGGTGAGGGGCTGTTTGTTACTATTTTAGTGTAAATATTGAAGTCTTTGGGAAGAACAGAAGTCAATCTATTAACAAAATTCTGGCACCTCCTTCAGGAAGAGATTTCTTAGTTGTATTTTCTTCTTAACTCCCACTCAGGAAAGAGGATTGCAACATATTTTGCACCTTAAATCCTGTTCCTTTTAAAAACTTTTATTTTGCTCATTTCAGTTTTGTGATTATTTTCTCTCACAGCTATAGTTCTCCATTCTTCTGAATCTGTTATTATGCTTGTGCACTTATTTTTTCATCTGTATTTGCTTCCCTTACTTCTGTTTAGTCAAATCTCACAATTGGAAAAATTGAAAGGGGTCTTCTTTTATAAATATTTTTTAAAAATCTGAGTCATCATAGTTTCTTTTTTATTCTCCTCAGTTATAAACATTATGATCCCAAGCATCTTCTATTTTACCTACTTGTATAAGCTCAAATCCCATTGTAACATCAGCATAAAACTGTGAATTCTAGTTCATTTTATGAAACATCATTTTAGTAAGTGAGACAATTAGTGGAACAAAGAAATGTTTTTTGTTTTACAAATATACAACTCTAAATGTGATTTTTTAAAGTTGAGGTACAATTAATATGCAGCATTATATTAATTTCAGGCATACAGCATAATGATTCAATATTTGTATATATTACAAAGTGATGACCATAATAAGTCTAGTTAACATCTGTCACCATACATAGTTACAGAATTTTGATTCTTGTGATGAGAACTTTTGAAGTCCACCCTCCCAGCAACTTTCAAATATAAAAGGGATTTTTGTAAGAGCACTTGACCTATTGCCTATATTGTCAATTTTCCTCATTAAATATTTTCTTTAGAATCAAAATCAAATTATTTACACTCTGTTTAAAATCCAGTCTTGACCTATCTCTTACTACCTTTATTTTTGTCCATGTAATTTTCTTTAGACTAAGCCCTCACTCATCCATGTAATGGATGACCACTGATAACTACGCCATGGTTGATCCATGCAGAGGTATATCTTCTGTCTATATTTTCTTTTTCGGAAATGATAAGGATATTCTGTCTAAAGAATCAATTCAAAAACTCCTGTAGTCCCATCTCCAAATTATTTAACATGATAATTTACTCTATGTGCTTTATATTTTCTGAATAATTTAATACTAAATAATAATATTCATTCAATATAGCTGCAAGACTCACAGAACAATGGATCCGGCTTGCCGTGAGTTAATTTTCGGTATTAGAAGTTTCAGAGTTGAGCAGAGTACAGTGAACAGTATTTTGCAGTCAAAGTTTATCTAGCACCGTGTTTAGTTTATTTTTAAAGTTCTGTCAGAAATTTTCATATTTTTTATAGCTATGCAGTTTTGCATTAGATAATGGCTAATCTTGACCAGAAATAGCCTTATCACCAAAAGGAATGCTACATAGTGAAAAGATTTTACAATTTTTAAGTCAGTGAAGACCATTGAGATTCTTTTGTCTTAATTATTATACCAGGACTTCTTTTTTAAAAATTTTTTTATGCCAGGGTTTTTAAAAAAGCATCATCACAAGTATCACCAAAACCATTTTACTAATAAAGTTCTGTGCTAATGGCTATTATAACTACTTCATAAAGATAATAACATAACATTTACTTTGTATAGTAATTTGACAGATTTTTTAAATTGAATTTTTACATGTCATGATAGTTATTACCTTGCTAACTCACCAAGGGCAAAGAACTTTAGCTTTCTTTGGTTCTCCCAAACTGTTGTGTGCATAGTGAATGTTCCCTAAATATTTAATTATTATTTTGAAAAGATAGTCTTATATCACAAATGTACCATTTAACATGTCTTGTTTTTATTTATTTTTCAGCTTTATTGAGGTATAATTGACAAAAATTATTCACATTTAATGTGAATATGAGGTATTCCTCATAAAGTTTCCATACATGTATGCATCATGAAGTGACTACCACAATCAAGCTAATTAACATACTGATCTCTCACATAGTTGCCTCTTTTTTGTGAGAACAGTTAAAATGTACTCTTTTAGCAAATTTTGACTAAATAATATAGTATCATTAAATATAGTTACTATGCGGTGGATTAGGTCCTCAGAAACTATTTATTCTGCCTAACTGAACCCTTGGGCCCTTTGACCAGTACTTCCCCATTTTACTGCTCAGCTTTTCCATTACTCTGTCTGGTAATTGCTGTACTGGTATCTCTGAGCAGGAACAAGAGAAGGAACAAAAAACCCTCAAGAATTCATTTTTGGTACTTTATTTTTCACAGAGTTTGAGAAAGGGAAAATTAAAGCTATAATTAAGACCTGAGGGATTTTTCTTTGGTTTTTCAATTAGCCAAGTTGTTGTGCTCTGTATTAGCTTAATATGAATAATTGGAATTCAACCTTAGCTAGCAAGGAAGGTATTTGCAGTTAGATTAGAAAAGGGGAAAGAATTCTTTCCGATAATTAAAAGGTGTACTAACAAAATTTCTTAAGAATACTAGCCTTAGGGTTAGCTGCCCCAACTAGATTTACTGGTTGGTTGTTTTTTCTTGGATAATAGTGTAGTTATCTGTGGTTTATTCTAGAATCTTTAGAAAGTATTTGTTTTCTGTTATACAGGGACTCCAGGGCCTGAGGCATTGTTCAGTAAGTGGACTCTATGTTGGTGATCGATCTGTCAGTCTATGTTTTTCTTTAAGCTCTCTCTGTACCATGGCACCATTTCATTTCTGCTCTGGTCCAGAATATCTCTAGGATTGATGAGGTCACTGGTTTATTTAAACAATTATTTTCTCTGTTTTAAAATAAAAATATCTCAGTAGTCTACTCTTTAAAATAAGAGACGCCAAAATGATTTTAAAATAAAATTTTCATTTTCTAAATGTTAGTGTTTAAACTGCTCAGTTTTTCTTGGACAAAGAGAATTTTTTTGACTTTGCTGCCACCTCATGGCCAAGGCAGTAATTAGAAACGATCCTCCAGGACTTATAAAAATATACGCCAGGAAAAAAAAGACTGTGGAGAAGTTGTGCTAAATATGATCTCGGTCCTTTGCATAGAGTAACATTTTCTGTTTTGTTCTGTGATCTGAGTTCGAGCCCAATCCTTGACTCACAGTTTCATTTCAATAATAATATTGGGTTAGCCAAAAAGTCCGAATGTATTGTTCTATAAAATAAAAGACACATTTTTCATTTTCATCAATAACTTTATTGATTTTGATATTTTGAGTCTGTCAGCTATTTTGAGTCTGTCACCTATCTCCTGTGTGATGTAACATTGATTGTTCTCAATTAATGTTTCAATTTGATCACTATCAACTTCAAATAGTCTACCCACCACAGAGCATCATCCAGCAAGAAATCTGCAGCACAAAACTTTGGAAATCAGTCTTGACACATTTGATTAGTTACAGCACCTTCTCCGTACACGGGACAAATCTTTTTTGCATTGCAGCTGTGTTTTTACCTTTCTTGAAGTAATAAAGTGTAATATGCTGAAAATGTATATTTTCTTCCATCTTCAATATTAAATGCCTACACAAAAATTTACCAATTTTGATGTTTTTTTAAATGCCTGCTGATATGAAAGCTGTCATAACAATCTAATGAAATTGTTTTGAATGAAGTTAAAGACAACTAAGTGCTACTAGAGCATCATATAGAAAAAAACAAACTTTTTGGCCAACCTCAAAGTTTCTCATCTTTTTTGTAGCTTTTGGACTCCATAATTTTACAGAATCATGCTCTTCTTTAATAAGCAATAGTATTTCCACCATGGGCACCATATTTATATCACAGCTCTGCTGCTACCAGCGGCAGTGAGGTCATAGTAAATGATTAAACTCTTCTTGTCTCTGTTTTCTCAGACATGAAATTGAAATAATAACACCTACCTATTTTATAGGCTTGATGTGAAAATTAATTAAGATGATGCATTTAAATTAATTAAGATATATTTAAGTGGTTTGGCATAGTGTCTGACCCTAGTAATCTCTCACTATCAAGTGCGTCAGGTTTTTAACAACTATGGTGTTAGGAACTTAGTCGATACAAGGTTAAATACACATTGATTGGTACAGCAATTAGTTTTATAGATTTAAATTTAATTTTAAAAGGCAAACATCTTAAAAGTGGTTCATGTTCAAATTTTACACAATATAAACCTTTGATATTGCTTACTCCCTGACCTATCCTGACAGAATTCGTCGAGTATAATGTGCTGTCTGTTAAATCACTGTGAGAGCCACAGAGGAAGTGCTTCGGCAACTCGACTGCAATTGATCTTCAGATGCTAGACTGCTGAAAGAGCTGTGTCTGTTTTTCTCTTAATCACCCCATTTGTTTTACCTCCTCTGGCAGGAATGCAAGTCTTTGCACGGAGAGTATGTTGGACGAGCCTGCGGTCACGATCACCCATACGTCCCAGATGTTCTGTTTTGGTCAGTGATCCTGTTTTTCTCCACAGTTACTCTGTCAGCCACCCTGAAGCAGTTCAAGACCAGCCGCTATTTTCCAACCAAGGTACTTAGACTACAGTTTTCTTGATTAAAATGTAAACCTACATAAAGCATGTTTTATAGTCATACATGTTTTAAGACAAAAGGAAGAGCAATTGCTGTGATGAAAGGGGCCACTAAAAAACATTTGTGTAAGCGAGCTGCCAGATTAGGAGGGGAGATAGGTGAGGGAGGGAGGTAAAGTGAAAGCACTTTTGAGACAGGTGCTAGGAAGGGCACTTGACCTCCAGGCTTTTCTCCATAACTTCAAATCCCAAAGATGAACTCCTAGGTTTTGGAAACTGAAAGCACTCTCTGCATTACTGATTGTCACTTCCCTTGCCCAGTGAACAGTGGGAACTATTCCAGGCTGACAGATACCTCGTTGGAGCCACTGTTGCATTCTCTAATTGGGAAAGCCCCTGCAAAACTCATTGGAATACTATTCTTTTTTATTTTTAAAGTGTCAGACCCTCCCCCAAACCCACCACGTTTGCATCTGCATATTTGGAAAGGAAAGTAAACAGAGAAACAGCTTAGTTCAATATTTAACACTGCAAAGTAACACCTATAATATCTGACTCAGCCAATAAAAAATGAGAAAAAAAGACCCAAGAAAACAAGCTTCTTAAGGATGAGCTGAGATTATAATCAAAATTGCACCCTGGGAAAATATTTCAAGAACTGTATCCTCTGCAAAAAACTTCTGTTTTTGTTACCTCTTTCCATAGGGTGAAGGTATTTTTTCCCTCAAAAGTTTAATTTGATTAAATTATTTTGGGAGCTTAAAACAATAATATTCTGCATTTTTGTGTGTGTTCGTTTGTGTGTCATAGATTCATACTAATACAGAAGCCAGATCTTGTTGATAATTATATAAGGATTTTTGCTTAAAGAAAAATTTATGCATGAGAAATGGCTTTAAAACTGACTTACCTAGAGTAACTTTTAAATTTGCCCACTCTGTTGTGCATATTCCTTGCTGCCATACTTATATCCCAGATAAACTAACTAAAATATTATGCTTCTTTAATAAAAATGATAATTTTATATTATGGTGCTTCAGGTTTATCATATTAAAGTGTTGCCTGTGTGAGAAAGAGTCCTAAAATTTTGTCACATTCCTGCCACATGGCCTTGGTCTGTGTTCTCAATATTCATGCACTTATCTTCATAATAAACTTAGATTTTTAAATAAATATTAAAAATAACACGATCTCCATTATAGCTCTTTCACAATGCCTTATCCTGGAAAGGTCGACTGTATATTCATCTTAATGACAAAGATATGTAAATATATATTCATGTTCTGACAAAGCTAATGATAATATTATAGTATGCATAAAATGTATTATGATATTATGTCATAAAGTGTTTATAAAGTGTGACTGTAGATTACATTCCTGAGTCTTCCTGTCTATTTAGTTTCTTCAAGTGACAAATGTTTTCATTATTTTTAGGTTCGATCCATAGTGAGTGACTTTGCTGTCTTTCTTACAATTCTGTGTATGGTTTTAATTGATTATGCCATTGGAATCCCATCTCCAAAACTACAAGTACCAAGTGTTTTCAAGGTGAATTTATGACAGCATTTACTGTTTACTTCTTCATATTTATAGGCCTAATCTTCATTTAGATAATGGTTATAACTCTAGAACTTGGGATTTTCATGAAAATATAAAGATATAGATTAATAAAATGCCCATACCATGAGTAAAATTTTGGTCTATTATTTTAAACATAGGAACCACAGAATAGAAACCTAGAGGCCACTTGAAAATACTTTCCTGTCAATATTTCCAGTTGAAATACCTATATACAACACTGCTAAGAGATAAGGAAGCATTTTGAAATACGGGAAATGTATTATCTTGATGCAGAATTGCCCAATGGATAGGGCTTGGAAAACAAATAAAAACAGGTCTGATATAGAATTCTGACCCTCTTACTAAGATTGTGACCCTGGGCCAGTTACTTGAACCTCCCTGAGCCTCGATTTTCTTACTTGTCAAGTGGAATCGGGGACTCCCTCAGAATTTTTGTCAAGAGACTTATTTTGGGCCCTGGCTGGTGACTCAGGTGGTTGGATCAGCCTCCTATAGACCAAAAGGTTGCAGGTTCGATTCCTGGTCAGGGCACATACCCAGGTGGTGGGTATAATCCCTGGTGAGGGTACATATGACAGGTGACCAATTGATGTATCTCTCACATAGATGTCTCTCTCTCTCTTTCTCTCTCTCTCAAAACAATGAAAAAAATGTCCTCAGGTGAGGAAATAAATATACAAACAAATAAATGAATAAATAAATAAGAAAGAAAGACTTGCACTGGGGTTTGTCTTTGGTACCAGCCATGTTTAGAGCCTTTACCTGAACCCCTGATGTCACAGTGTCTTTTTGCTGTTGTCAGATAATGGCCTGTGCACCCATCTAAAATAACAGTTACACACAGTTGTCAACATACTATTTGTAAATATAAATAAACTTGCCAATTGTAAATGATATTATTTTATTTAATATGAGTATTGATTAAGAACACAGGTTTTTTCACCAGTATGTCAGAATTCAAATCCTATATCCACCACTTACATAGCTTTGGGATCTTGGGCAATTTGCAGGACCTTTCCATGTCCCAGTGTCCTTATCTGTATCGCCTTATCTATTGTGAAGGGAAAAATGAGTTATAATATCTAAAGCACTTATAATGGTGCCTGTACCTTTTAAATACTTTGTAAACATTAGTATTATTAATTTTATAGCTCACTCAGCAGACTCATTTATGATTAGGGTTTTCCTGGTAGTATCTGTCAAATACAATTTGATTAAGTGCTCATTAATCCAGTTAATAACTATGCACATTCTTTTATTTTTCATAGCCCACCCGAGATGACCGTGGCTGGTTCGTTACACCTGTAGGTCCAAATCCATGGTGGACAGTAATAGCTGCTGTTATTCCAGCTTTGCTTTGTACCATTCTAATTTTCATGGACCAGCAGATTACAGCTGTCATCATCAACAGAAAAGAGCATAAGCTAAAGGTATATCTTAATGTTAATTTCAATGTAAATCATGGTGACTTGATTGACATCAAGTGATGTTCTTCTACTTTATATTCTGTAGTCATTTGTACAGTGAAATATTAAAATAATGTTTTAAGGTTCATAATTTTTATTGTCTGTATTCAGGATACTCTGTCTTACAATAAACTTAAACTTCATTATTTTTAATGACTTAATTCATTTATAGCACTTAGCTGAGCTTTAAACTCTGAAACCTTATCTCCAGGGCTTAAAATAAAAACATTGCCTAAATTTTAATTTTACCATGTCTAACATATTTTAATGAAATAGTAATAATGTACTTTGCTGAAGTGCAGCTTTATCAATTTATCTTCCATTGAGGATTTCACTAGTTCTTGATTTGAGTCCAACTATGTCTATTAGATTGTATTCATTATTGGAACAACTTACATCTTCAGATATTCTCATTTCTTCAATTATTCTTCTGTCTATAATGCCTGTGACAACAAAACCCATTTGTAAATGTTAAAGTTTTTAAGTGACACCTTTATTGAGTTTTATTGCAGATCTCAATGACTCCTCTCTCTTTTATTTTTAATCAAGAGAATATATATGCATATATTTTATTTATTATATTCTGACCCTATCATTCTGCAACTGCAAATGATAAAATTGTTTACTGGTATACAATTTGAGATAAGCAATGTGAGTACTATCACTTATAAGAATGTGTTAAATAAAATCAAAATCATTGAGTGGTTACAAATTATCTAAATCAAACTTTATAAAAACAAAGCATGCACCATCCTGTTTTGTGTTGGTATCATGTATACTCTCTTTAAATTCTAGAAAAAGGTCCATTGTTAGAGCAACAGAAATCATGCTTTACAGAATTTATAAGTATGTTTGTTAGAAAGATTAAAATCTCTGATTGAACTATTTGATGGGAAGTAGAATAACATAAATGTAAGGAAGCACAATGATTTGTAATGTCTTGCTAAAAAGGAGTTTTATGTCTATATCAGAGAGAATGAGTCTATCTTAAAACAAAGCATTTTTCATTCTCTTTGTAGAAAATAACTTGTGAGTGATTAAAATCTCTTTTGAAAGTTCATGCTTGTTTTTGTCAAAATTCTTAAGGATATATTTTACAAAAATATCTCATAAAAGTCTTAGAAACTAAACCAGTAGTGCTGGTATGTTTAACAACCAGTCCTTTGCATATCAAAAAGAGAGAGAGATCCTTATTCATAATGTTTGCTGACTTCCATGGTATGAATACCCCCATCGTGTCCCATTTTATGCTACCAGTGTGACATCAATTGGCAGGAAATTTTTTTGAAAATTAAACAATTGGCTCTGATAAGCCTATATGAGCTGGCTCCCAAAATGCCACTGAACTGTGCAGTTCAACATTGGAAACTTTGAATCATTTACAGCCCTCAACACATGGAATTCAGACCTCCAAGTTTAACAGCCTACTTATTTAATATCAATCACTTAAAAGTATTATTTGCTTTTAAAATATTAGCCTTCTGCAAAAGCAAGTGCCACCACAACTTAATTATTAAAGTTACATAGTTGATTGAATAGATCAATAAAACAAGTGTTAAGTACTTTACATTGTTAGTCTGTTACTCTCTAAGAAGTAGGAAAACAGTTTGCCTAAACATCAGTTTATTTTTTTAAAACTGAAAACATTTATACTTTTCATTGTAAGGTAATATATGATTTCAGTTAAAAAATTAGATAATATAAATAGTTAGGAGAAAAAAAGTGGGAAAATATTATAATTTCATTACCCAGAGATAATATAGTTAACATTTTGTCATAGACCCAAGTATATATTTTCATACTATAGATGTCATTTGCATTTTTTAACATAAGGGTATTATCATGGTAATTACCCCATGTCAACAATATAAATCTGCATTATTATTTTAAAAGGCTGTACATATATTTTATTTTGTAACACAGGTTTTAAAATGAACTGAAAGACTCCTATTTTAAGAAGAAAATAAGTTGTACAATCATTGGTTCTCTTTCAAAGAAAAAAATTGTTTTTTTAATAAGATAGAAATCCCAGAGTTTCTCTGAAAAATTATCCTGTTAAAGGTTATCAGCTAAACTGATGGCAGCAGTATTTTTTCTAAGTATTAATGGAATCATATTAAAGCAAATGTGACAGTAAGTGAACATTTGCTGAAGGTGATATTATGTTTTTGACCACTCTCTCTCATTGCTCCTTCCAGTTTCTCAACCTTGTAAATTGGACAGCACTTGCTTCTGTTCTTTATGAGCCTGTGGTAGGCCCCTGACACCCACAGTCTTTGCCAAATGCCAGACCGACAAATGCAGTGTTTTCCTTCTTTACATACCATGTGGAATAACTAAAATACAAGAAAGCGTTCTTTACATAGTTTTTCAGCTACTTGCATTTATAGAATTAAGTGTAGAACAAAAACATTTAATTTTTTTGTGACTAAAATCAACTTGAGGATACATTAGTAAACTATATTATATTGTTTGTACATTACTTTGTATTATACAAATAAATAACCATGTAATCAAAAGGTTCATAGTTTTGCCCTTCAACAGCATGGATTTAGTAAGTAACAGAACAAAGCTGACTTAATTATAAACAGCTATATTTCCCCAAGTGAAAGAGCCAGTCTGTTCTTGACCGCTGTGAGTCTGAGCACCCCATTTTCCTCCTTGGATTTGGATATTTGCAAAGGAAGTTCCTTGCAGTACAGGCAGGTTTTATCTACACTGAGCACTTTTTTCCCTTGTTAGCCTATAACCTTTGTCTTTTATAAGCTTTGGTGGTCTACTGCTGCTGATTTTCCTGTTGACAATAATGAAAATTCACTTTCTCGGGACATTCTTCACTCAGAGCAGCGGTTAGCTCCGTAGCCGTTCCCCCTGCCGTTGCTTCTCTGAAATGTTCGCACAGTCTCCCAGCTCTGACTAGAACCACATTGTCATGAAAAGAGAAGTACTTCTTGACTGTCTCTCCAGACCACAAGTTAACCTCATTTTCAGCTAATTTTTTTTTCTCTCTCGAAAACCCATTTTTGCCTTGGGTGAAGCATTCCCAGAAATAGTTCAATGAAGCATGTTTTGTATTTCTGTACCAAGTACCAGGTGGATTCCACATTATGTATCTAAGCCTAGGTCTACATCATATATCCCATTCACCTTGGAATTTAGTTTTTTCATTCCTTATCTCTCCTAACTTATCTCGTAAGTCTTTCCACTTTTTCTTTATTTCCATTACCAAAACTAGTGGTTGGTTTTCTTTTAGAGTTTTCATGCCACTAAAAATGGTTTTCATTATTTAGTGAGTGTTGCTACACAGACAGGAAAGCTGCATTGACCTGCAGCGGTGAGGCCCAACTCACTTGTTCAGTAACTTACTCCTCTCTCAGAATGAAAAAGCTCAAAATTAGCCAAACTCCAACTCACTGTACCCCATGATCTTCTGGGTTGCTCATGGAGATCTCATCGTAAGGTACATAAGTGTTGAATTTATGTCATGCACCTGAAACTAATATAATATAGTACATCAACTATACTTTAACAAAAAATGTAAAATCTACAAATATAAAAATTTGAGAATGTATATTATCACCTATATTAATATAAATATAGATCCATATTCTTATCTAGCATTTTTTGCTTGTTTGTTTCTTCCTAAGAGAAGTAGAATATTGAAAAGCATTAAAAATATTTGTTTTTTTTTAAGTATTCTCTAAAAGTGGGAAGAGAGATATTATTTTACAGAAAAAGAAAGTTTCTGCTCAGATACAACTGTGGGCTTTTCTACATGTTTCTGTAGACAGTTCAGGCTTCTTTTGACATCATTCTTAATAAACAGCAATACAATCGCAGATCACTTGAGTAAATGAATGCATTTGTAACACTCATTTGGCACCACATTCTCTTGATGATTATGGCATTTGATATGTTCTTTTTTGCCCTCTTTGTCAGCCTGGTTCTTCATGTCAATCTATAGTCTTTTATGTGGTTAACTTGACAGATGCAGGAAATTGCTGCCAAGCTTCAAAATGAATTTTTTTCAGCAGTGGCATCTGGGTATCAGATGGTCCTCTTGGCTGGCCTCTTGTCTTGCTGCATGTTGGTTTTAGTGGGGTCTGCTGTAGCATCACCTGTTGCTATGCTGCCTTTTCCTTCCATATGTCCATTTCCCATGATTCATGGATGAATGTGAGAATAAAAGCTCTGGTTCTGTCTTTATTTCAGAAAAAATATTCTACAGAAATATGTTAGAAGGTGCAGAGTTCTCCGTCTGACAAAGGGATACTTCCCTTTGGCTGTCATGTCTCTCAGCTAATGATTTGGTTACAAAGACCAAATTTTTAGAGACATTTTAAATGAAAGGGAAGGAGATGGACAATGGTTAATTAGTGGAAGTGCCAGAATTGCTTTATTTCTTTGAGTCATATCAAATTAAGATGCTCCCATTGTTGTACAACATAATCATTGAGGTGGGAGGGGGTTCTTTTTTTGTTTTCATTATGTACTTGTACTTGACAAAGCTAGCTTTCTAAGGAAATTATTTCCCCTGAAAGCATTACTTTGTCTGCTTCTTACAATCCAGAATCTTACTGTTTACATTTGTATCTCATTTTTAAAACACTAAATAAGAGCTATAGGAAATCACTATCATGAAGAACTCCTTCCTCATATTTTTAAGCCATAGTGAACATGGGTCCGAGTGTGCAAGCTCAAGGCCCCAAGTCTTATGCCCTCTGACATTTATCTCCCTATTGCTAGCACCTGTTCCATTCTCTCTCAGCAGCACTAGAGCTTTGCACAACCCCAGGGGGCATCATTCACACTCTACTGCCTCAGAGGCAGGAGCTTGAGTAAGTCCTTCATTATTCTCTCTCTCACTCCAGAGTCTCTAGGACAAAACAGTCCTCTAACTGGTTAAGACATTGTCCTTTAAATGGACCCACATTTGAGTTCTATTCCATACCACTGCATCTTCCAAAATGCTCTGCAAATGGACCTGAGGAACATACTATGGCTCTGGTGAAGCTTTTTGTTGAAGCAGATACCATGGTGTTTCTCTTTTCACTCCTCAGCTCTTAGTAATGAAAATCTCTCCTGCATTACTCAAAAAGAAAATTTTCTAGTGTCATCTTCACAAGGCATTTTGTTGAATTGGAACATTGCTCTGACAAAGCTGACCCACTGAATTGATGGCAATGCACAAGGAAAATGTGGTTATGTGGTTATCTCCCATTTTCTCCTTATCACCTCCTGCACTTTTATGATTTGGCAGGGATGGGCAGAAAGGAAGGGAAGTACAACTGACTTTAAGGTGTTTTTCTTAATACAACAATTAACAAAGCAAAATAGCAGAAAAGAAATACTATCATGACAATTATGCAACAAATACTCAATATGTTTCACTCCAGGCTATATGAGCTTTCATACTAACTACAAACTGCTTGCAGTTTGGTAAAACTGCCTGTGGAAAAAAAAAGGCAAAATTATTCTTCTAGAAGAATTGGTGATGTCTGCTTATGATTATGAAAACAAATTTAACAGCTACACTTACTTAAAAATTACACATATTAAATTTTATTCCAAAAGATGTTTCAATGATGCATATTTCCTTTTTAAAAAGTCAATAAGTCTGTAACTTATTGATTGCTTATCATGTGCCAATGATTGTGCTAAAAACTATGGGAAATACAGAGAAATTATATGATAAATTACCTGCCCTTAAGATATATACATTTATTGAGGAGCCTTGAAACAAATGAGGACAAAAGAGAAATTCATTGTTCAACTGCTAGAATGTAATAGCCTCTAACGTTCGATTGGTGTGTACCATACACGCACTATTGTTCTGAATTATTTGCAAAATTAAATAATGTGATTCTTGCAACAACCCAATGAGGTTGGTAATCATCATCACCATTTTTTCAAATAGGGAAGCAGGTACAAGAGAATGCCATAGTTTTCAGACTATAAGATGCACTCCCCTGCCCTAAAATTTGGGAGGAATAGTGGTTGTTAATGCTGCTGTTGAGTTTTGTTTACATTTACATTGGTGAAATATTATGTTGTTTATGTTTTTAAATATTTTTCCACATTTTTTTCTTCAAAAACTTTTTCCTGTTTTCCTCCTTTAAGACCTAGGTGGGTATCATCCAAAAAATATCGGTAAATCATTTATCCAAGGTCATTGATTGATCTAGCATTTGATTCCAGGCCACTTATGTCCAGAAACTAAACCCTTAACCACTTTACTATACTACCTTTTCCTAAGAGTTGGTATCTAAATGAGGCCAAGCCCTTTGCTACTTGTCAGTTTCCTGAAGGGGATATAGAGAGAGATTAATGCTTCTGTTCCCCATTTTCATTCTCTCCTCAGATAGGACTGACCTAATCACCCTCTCCAAGAGATCAGTCTTCAGTTCCCCGAGTTTCCATATGCCCCTTGCGTCCATTTTTCCTGTTTGGTCCAAAGAAGCACTTAAGTTTGTAATACCGGGAAGTTAGTGGTCATAGAGTAGGATCCCAGAGAAGATAGAAAACACAAAAACTATGATTTTTTAAGGAGAAGCTAAATTTTTCCTGTCACTGAAACTGAAACAAATGGGAACAAGATAGTATATATACATGTTCTCCTGATATTATTTTTCCCAAAGTCACCCGTTGAAAGAGAAGAAGGCAATTGGAAACTGTGTTAGAGAAAAATTGATCTCAGGAAGATCCAGGAAGTGGTCTCTGTCTTCGATCAGCTCATTCTTAGCTCTGTTGTTGTCACAGTCTTTTACTGTGTTTTCCCAGCCTGATACCTGATATATAGTTGGCACTTAATGATTTTTTTAATCAACAATGAATGAATTGTGAGTAATGTTAATTGTGAATTGACTCTCCTATATAAGGAAACTATGGAAGTGATTGTATTTGATACTGACCTTACTTATTCAATAAAAATGGCATGGAAGCTAATATAACATTGACCTAAAAATATATTAAGCCTGTTAAAGTTTAGAAGTTAGAGAAGGCACTATAATCATAATTGCAATAAGAACACATCTGCAATATTTCTTCAAGTGAATTATATATCTTGAGGCTGTTTACCTTTTTATCTTTAATTTATTTTGCATTTTAGAATCAGTTGTATGAGATTTAATATAGCATCTTCCCTCTATTCCTACCGTTTCATGGTGATCATGTTGTCTCTGTACAAATTCAGGTTCTATGAGAATACTCTTTTTTTCTTTAACAGAAAGGTTGTGGATACCACCTGGATCTATTAATGGTGGCTGTCATGCTTGGTGTGTGCTCCATCATGGGCCTGCCGTGGTTTGTAGCTGCCACTGTTCTCTCCATCACTCATGTCAACAGTCTAAAGCTGGAATCAGAATGTTCAGCTCCAGGAGAACAACCCAAATTTCTTGGCATTCGGGAGCAAAGAGTTACTGGACTTATGATTTTTATTCTTATGGGTTCATCAGTCTTTATGACCAGCATTCTGAAGGTAATAAAATCTGCCTTTATGAATTTGAGAGAAGGCAAAATATATTTATTATTGTTTAAGGAATTTCATTTGAAACTACACCAATATGCAAATATTTTATGGCATGTGATGAAAGTGATGAATTTCTTTGCCATGTTTATATAACTTAATGGGGAAAATTATGTGCTGTATTTTTAAAATCCTTAAATACATAAGAATTTGGTCTGGCAAAGTAAAATGATGTGTAAATTATTACCATAATTTTGAACTACTGACAAAGTTGTGGGAAAGAGTCACTTATTGCTGACTAACTTGTGACCTAAATTCACTGCAGGCCTACACAAAATTAGGCTTTTATTTTCTAATCACTGGAAAGCTTTATTTGCAATTAACATTACTTAGTATAAGATAGAGGTACAGAAATGAGCAATGTCATGGTCATGGCCACGTACACTGTTTTATGTGTTCCATAAAACTAATAACATAAGAGCATTAAAGAGTAATTATTTTGTCCTGTAAGTTTATCAGATATTTCCAAGATTTTATTATAACAAATTCTAGTTGTCCATAATTTGAAAATCTAATTGAATTAGTTTACATAAGTTTATTCTTATTTAATCATTTCACAAGCATGTTTGCAAGAATTGATTTACATGTTATATAAATAACTCTAGAGACAGGATGATGCTGAGCTATTCCAAGAAAAAGAGAAAAATTAAACAATCTGCAATTTTATAATATCTGATATAATATAGTAACAACGTCTGAGTATTAGCTCCATTCTTCATCTTTAAGCCAAATATCCTATTTGAAAATAACTTGTACCTTTTCCTCAATTGTTCTTTTACAGTTTATTCCCATGCCAGTGTTGTATGGAGTATTTCTTTATATGGGTGCTTCATCTCTAAAGGGAATTCAGGTAAATTACTAACAATAATACAGGCACATCTATGAGGACTTAAGATCTATTGATGCTAAGTCATGTGATAATTAAGAAAATAACATCATGTTAGAAACAAGCTTTGAAACATAATTAATTTTTTTAAACTGATCAGAATTTACAGAAGTTAAAGATCCTCACCAGCATAATCTTAAGGCACTTATGTTTACCATTAGTGTATTAAAACTAAAAGGTTTAGATTTCACAACTATTTTAGAAAAGTAATCATAGTACATTTCAAAGTATATATAAATACTTTTAATCTCTGATATTGTAATTATGGTTATAGATATCCATGAGAATAGAAAAAAAATTTATGCACAAAAATATTCATTGCAACATATACTTTCAAAATGTTAGAAACAATCCAGTTAACCAACATCACTAAATAATTAAGTAATCTATGGTACATTCACTGAGAAGTGATAATTACTGATGACCATAAAAAGTAACATGGCAGAAAAACATATGTCATAGGCAAAATGAAAAAGTAGGAGAAGAGGTTGAACCTACTATGGGTTTATAAAGCTATGAGTGTTAGCCATATTAAAAAAAAAGGAGACAGAGAATTAAAACCGATTTGTTAAGAGTGAGATTCTAGGTGATTTTTTCTTTTGCATTTGTGTTTTTATTATTATCATAGTTATATTTATAGGATGATTTTAAATATTGAACTAAAAATAAAGGTATAAGGTAAGGCAGTTTCAAAGTATAAGGAAAACCTTATTAATTGTTTAATGAAGTATTGGTTGAATAAATATAGTTGTATTAGTTTCTATTGTTGCATAACAGGTTACTGTAAAATTTAGTGTCTTAAAACAACAATCATTTATTATCTCACATCCTCTGTGGGTCATGAATTTGGGAACAGATTAGCCAGGTGATTCTGGCTCAAAACGTGTCATGTGGTTGCTGTCAGGATATGGACAAAGGCTGTAGTCATCTGAAGGTTTGAGTAGGGCCGAGGGTTGCATCTAAGAGACATATCACACAGCTGTGAGAAAGAGGCATCAGTTCCTGCCTAGTGTTTGGTAGGAAGCCTTAGAGTTTTCCCAGATGGACCTCTCCATAGGTCACCCAAGGGTCCTCATGGCATGCAAGTTAACTTCCATCAGAGTGGGCGATTTGAGAAGAGAGGAAGTCACCGTGCCTTTTGACTTAGTCTCCAAAGTTGCCCATGGTCACTTCCACTTTTTACTGTCGGAAACAAAATCACTGTGGCTAGCTCGCACACACAAGGAGAAGGAAGTTAGACTTTTGAAGAGAAAAACACTAAAGAATTTGTAGATGCATTTTAAAACAACGCAAGTGTTTTCTAAATCTTTATAGAGGCTTTTGGCAAATTGTTCCTGCTTATGGTACTGCAGTAGGTTGAATAGTGTTCCCCAGAATTTGTTTCTGCCTGGAATCTCAGACTGTGACCTTATTTGGAAATAGAGTCTTTGCAGATGTAATTAATTATGGATCTCAAGACAGCTCATCCAGAATTTAGTGTGAACCCTAAATCTAATCACTGGGGACTTTAGAATGAGAGAGGGCACAGGAAAGGGCCACATGAAGATAGAGGCAGAGATTGGACTTCTGCTGCCAGGGAATGTCAGGAGCCACCTGAGATTGGAAGAGGCAAGGACAGTTTCCTTCTTACGGCTTTCAGAAGAAGGCTGGTGCAGCAAGGACCTTGATTTTGTTCTTCACAACTATGGGACAATAAATTTGTGTTGTTTTAAGCCACCAAGCTGTAATAATTTGTTACAGTAACATTAGGAAACTAACAGAGATTTCTACTTAAATTTGTCATTGAATAACATTGTTTTGTAACTTGACATTATTGATCTAAAACACTTAAATTTTCTTGAAAAAAAGACTAATTAGGAGGGTTATTAATATTATGGTATAGTTTATTTTTATTGAGTGAAAGGAAAATATAAATTGTCATTTTTTTCACACAGTTTGACTCATTGCTGTTCAAAGACATAAAACAAAAGTCATCTCACAGAATGTTATGAATTTATCAGATTAACACTTAAGAGCACAGGGTGTGGGATGGTGAGCTTAGGTTCAACAACAGACCATAAGAGAAATTGAAATAGAAAACTTTGTTACTCACAGGTCCTGGAGGAAGTACCTGGCCTTGGGCCTGACTGCAAGGTCAAGGTAAAGACAGAGAGAGGAAGACAGGACCTAGGATACATGTTTTTATTAGGATCTGTGGGTAGAATGTTTTGGAGTTCCTGGGCTAAGGCCAGATGGGTAAATTCAAAATTAGAGAGCAGGGTTTTGGTAAGTCCCTGGGAGTCCTACCTCAGGGGCAATCAGGGGAAGGCACTGGGAGGCAGGGGAGACTGTTGATCACAAGGGCTGTTGGGGAAGTCATATCAGGAGCTTCCATTTTTGTGATTCTGTGGGCTTTTATTTAGGGAATGCAATTACATGAGAGACTGATGTAATTCAAGATCAATGCAGGCCACCAGGCCAAACAAGATGGATGCCAAGGCAACCATACCACTGAGTACCTCAGCCAAACTCTCAACACTGAGGAACAGGCAGCACAGGAACTCTTTCCTGCAGGAACAACGAGCCAGCTTCTGACTTTGGGAGAAAGAAAACCACTTAGGCCTTAGGACAGTGCTAGGTGTTAGAGCTGAGGCAAACTTTAATATGAAGTCATTGTAAGATCATCAAACATCAAAAGTGGATAGGATGACTCTGTTCATCCCAACACTGGGTAACATGAGCTTAGGAGGGGGAGATGGTTGAGAAGTGTTATGCATTTAAATTTTACTCAAATTAGTTTTAAATGGCTCATTTATAATTGCATGTATGAAAGTGTATTTTGAAAGAATTGATTTGACAAGGCAGATAGGGAAGAGTATTAAAGAGATTTTAGTTATTTGTTTTGCTTTTTTTTTTTTTTGCCTTTGGCAAAAGTTCCATGGGTACTAATTTCATCTGTAATTGCAAAGGGTTTACTATTAGGCCCCAGGCTCACATAAATAATAGGAGCAGAAGTTTAAGAAACAAAGTTAGATCATTTTGGTAGATTTCAACAGATTTCCCCCTAATTCTACTTACATGATTTTATACTTATAAGGTTTAGAACTAAACAAGAATATCAGATTTTAGAATTATTTCTCTCCAATGAAAATTGAGGAAAACATTATCAAAGGCCCATGAGAAAAAATGTAATGAGTCTTAAATAGCACAAATGGAACAGCAAGGAAGGTGTCACACTGAGGAAGAGGGTTAGTGAACATTTAAGAGAGCCTGGAGCTCAGGGGGTTTGAAATCCATATTTGGAATTTTGTGGCTAACTCAGTGTGAAAATGGGAAATTGATATTAGAAGATAAATACCAAATGCAAAACTCAGACTACATTTATCACGATTGTCATTACTGAAGTAGTAATAAACATGTGCTGAATGCCAGCAGTTCAAAGAGCATGCTAATTAGTTACTCTGTGTGTGGTAGGAACCTGTATTTCACCTGATCATTTCGCAATATTAAGAAACTTATTATCCAGACTGCTCACTGTGCAGCATGGCAGAAAAAACAGAGCACAGTGTTCTCATGAATGCTGTTTCTGTACTCAGATATATAACCGCTTCTATATTCATTCCAACACTTCAGGAGTCCCAAGGAAAGCAAATGTGCCATTTAAACAATAACAATTGAAGCACCCACACACTGATGTACACTTATGCAAGCACATAACTTCACAAAGGAGAAATGGTGACTGAGGAAAATAAATTCTATAGAAACTGAAACATTCAATAATAAGCCAGGGGATTTTACTTTATTTCTTCCCTATTCCCACTACCATCATGTACCAAGTTTTATTTGCTGGTTTAATGACATGTAATTTTAAGATATATTTAGGAGATAGAAATTAAAACACCTAATGAATTATGGAGAGGGATGAATCAGGAAAAAATTCAGCACTTAGTACTCTGCAGAGAAGCTTTTCAATAAGTGTTTTTGGAAGGCAATAATGAATATGAATAAATAAATGAACAGTATATGAGCTAATGTACATGTCATTCTGGTTTAGAAGACCAAGGAAAGATCATGCCATACCATAAGATGGGGTACACAGAGGAAAGATGGGCTTATGTTGAGTTTGAGATTATTATACATATAAGCAGATTTTGGTAAAAGGAGATGTTTTGATCCTAACACTTGACTCAATGCACATTTGTTCCTTGGCATATTAGAGTAATTCTGGAATATTTGACAAGAATTGCTTATAGTTTTCTTGTAAATTAGCTAATGAATAATATCCAATAGTACTCTTTTAAAAATGCATAACAGATATACTGTAGAAATGGCATGAAATAAAACTGTGATTAAAAGCATATTCTAAATAATCACTTCTTGTTGGAAACATTCAAAACTAATAACTTTGGCCTGAGAAATATTAAGCCAAAAATACACATAAAATGAAGTAACATGCAATGCAGTTTGTTAGTAAGTAAAATGTGATTAAAGATTTAAGGTTTTTCTGAAAATTTAATATATAAAAATTTAATTGAGAAAATTAGCTTTCATGGATAAAAATGGCCACCAAGCCAAAGCTATAACAACATTATATAGTTATAGTTATTTATATATAGTTATATAAAAAGTTGTACTTTCTTTTATGTAAATTTAAACAAATAACATTTATTCAGATAAAAATAATTTTTATCAAATGCAATTGAAAAATATGAGGCCTGTCCAGAAAAAGTCCAGCCATTGTTAAAATAACAATGTATGGTGTGGGTGACATCAAGGTAACCTGACAGGCCAAGGAGAGTGGACTGGAATGTGCGTGTATGAACAATGATGACTTCACTGTATTCACTGTACTAGTCAGTGAGGGCAGTAGACACTGTTGAGTGAGCCTGTGTAATGTGTGGCTATTGCATTCAAAATGACTGAGTGAATAGAGCAATGAATCTGTATCAAATTTTGTGTTATTCTTGAACATTCCTCTGTGGAAACTATTTGGATGACTCAGAAAGCCACATCTATGGGCACCTGGTGATTGGCAGCTTCATCACCACAATGCTTTTCCCAAACTAAAATCACCTTTGAAAGGGAAGAGATTTCAGACTGTCAATGAGATTCAGGAAAATATGACGGGCAGCTGATGGCGACTGGGAGAACTCTGTGAGGTCCCAAAGTGCCTGCTTTGAAGGAGACTGAGGCGTCATTGTCCTATGTACAATGTTTCTTGTATTTTGTATCCTCTTCAATAAATGCATCTATTTTTCAGGTTACATGGCTGAATACTTTCTGGACGGACCTCATATATAAATGGTTTGACAATGCAGTATAGAAAATTTATGAAGTTATTTGTAAATTGACTTTACACAGTTTGCTCTAAAAACACTTTATTAACAATTCATCTAGGTTAAATCTTTATGGCTAAGATATTCAATTTGTAAAAAATAGCACCAAACCTTGTTGGAGATCAGTGCGGCAAAGCCCAAATAGCAGAGTCAATATAGGGAGGTCACAACATCCTACTCAGGAGCTGGATGTGGTAGGAGAGCTCAGGAGACAGAGAGTGGAAGTAGAGATCTAGGTGTGGGAGTCTTTATCTAGGATGTAGAAGTTGAAGCCATGGGTAGGGAGCCGTCCCAGGAGAGAAAAGGACTGAGAATGGGGAGTCCAGGAAATCCTGGTGCTAAGTGGGCAAATAAAGGAAGAGGCTGTAATGTGACAATGAAAAAGAGGATGATGATGGTGTTTTGTCTCCCAAGGCAATATTCTTCTAGATTAGCAACATTTAGTATTATTGTCTTTAATATTTTTAAACTCTTCTAAATTATAACCTGGGTCTATAGCAAGAAAGTGGAGTATTATAAAACTGAAATCATAGTATTTCAGAGTGTATGCATAACAATCCTGCTGTCCAGATGCCCGGATGTCAACTTAAATGTGATCCAGGTGAACAATATTGGACCACATCAAATGTTTACTTGTTCTACTTTTATTGTTGTCTGTAAAAATCAATGTAGCCTGTTTATCTTTTAGTTTTTTGATAGAATAAAGCTCTTCTGGATGCCTGCAAAACATCAACCAGACTTTATATACCTAAGGCATGTACCACTTCGAAAAGTCCATCTCTTCACAGTCATTCAGATGAGTTGCCTTGTCCTTTTGTGGATAATAAAGGTTTCAAGAGCTGCTATAGTCTTTCCCATGATGGTATGAAACTTCTTTTTTTCTCTTCCTGTAATTTTCTGCTCTTATTGGAAACCCACGAACTGAAATTGGAACAATAGAGTCATTCTGGACAATTATGGGAAACCCTGGTATAAACTTGAACCACTAAAGCTGGGGACTAAGACTGGGTTTAAGGTTATATATGAATTGCAGTGATTCATATTAGTTTTGTCTCTATCATTCTGAATGTTGGTAGTAGTTTGAATTAATTGAAGTTGGGTGGGAAATGCAAACTTTCCAAATTTAACTTTAAAAAATACACCAGCAAGTCTGAAAAGTTAGGGGGATTTTTAAAAATTAAATTTCCTTAAATATTTTGGAGAAGTTTCAAGTACTTCAAAATTATAGTGAATTTGAATGATTATAACTTTAAATATTATCAGCATAGTTAAGAATGTTTTATACTTATTTAATATAAAGCAAACTATTAACTACATGTATTCAAGAAAACAGTTGAATGTATTTTATAGTTTTTCAAATGGCTTCTTTAAATGACTTCTATAATGTGTAGGTGACATCATAGCTATTATGTGGAACATGTGGTAAGAAAGAAATGAAGGAAGCAAAATTAGAGACAAAATCTGTTATATACATATATCTTCAAATTTATCTCAGTCCTAATTGAAATTGACTTGTTTCTACCAACAGACAAACCTATCACATTAATAATTTTCCCTATTTTACACTATTTTATTATTTATTTCAGGTATTAGCTCTGGTATTTGTAAGAAAGTTGATGGACTTTTTGTTTACCAAACGGGAACTCAGCTGGTTAGATGATTTAATGCCTGAGAGTAAGAAAAAGAAACTAGAAGATGCTGAAAAAGAAGTAAGTCGTAGCCGAGTAAATACCTTACAAAGAAAAAGAAGCACCTGCATACAGGAGCTCTTTACGAAACTAGATTTCTGAGTTTATCTTTAGATGGTTAGTGGTTAACAACTGCAAGGTGGACAAGTTTGGAAGATTAAATGTTTTAAAATCTTAAAGTTAGAACTTGAACAAACAGAGAGCATGAATATTATACGTAGGAAATCAATCCCTAGTGAAATATGAAAATACTTTATACTTCATTATCATCCAGATTGTACAGTTTATTTTTCGGATTACTCAGATGTTTGATGGAAGAAACTCACTGATGCTTAATTATTTCCAAATTATGGTCATTCAATGATTGCTTTCTGGTTGAATATGTGAGAAATGAAAAGGAGACCTTATTGCTGTTGGTATTTTTCTAGGGCACAAAGTTTTAATCAGAAGATAATTTTAATCGAAGGATAAAATGATTTATTCTTGAAATAGATGAAATGCTTAAGAGGAAAACATGATGATCTGACCTGCTTTCAAAGTGATTTAAAATTACTGTTTGAGAAACTTTTGAGATTAAATTACTTTGACAGACTACTGATTTATCCTATTCTGTTTCATGTATTAAAACTATATAAGTTTTATGGAGTAAAATGCATGTGTAAGTCCAGGCCTATTTTGAAGGCTAGTAATCATAGTATTTTTTTAAAGTATATAAAACCTATGAAGAGTATAAATGAAAAGAGTGACCAGTACAATATTTAGCAAAATGATTGAACCCATAAATTATAAAACATAGGAACTAAATTTGCATGTGACTAGAAATGATGATGAAAGAAAATATCTGATGAAAATTGTACATTCTTTGCACTTTTTTTTATTCTACAAGGTGGTTAGTAAATATATTTAGTTTCTTACCTGCAGTATAATTTCTCAAACCATGGGTGTATTCTTCTCTTTTGGGGGTACCTGTTCGCAGACCTTTCAATGTTCTTAAGTTTTATCCAGTCATTGGTTGAACCCCAATTAGGAAACAAAGTCTAATGAGATTTCTGTGCAGCTACAAATATGGCTACATAATGTGCGACTGTCTGGCATTTCCTCACTATCCTGCGGTGTTCCATCATCTACAGAATGTGGATCCCCGCATTTAGAAATTGATCGTGATGATGTATTTTAATACTGTATGAACATTTCAGTTTTATCAAATATTGTAAAGGTCTATTATACTCATATTTCTAGTAAATTTAATGTAAAATTAAAATATAAAAATATAAAAAATTATTTTTCTTTTTGATATTTTTATTTATTTATTTTAAGTTTTTTTAATTTTAACCTTTGTTCAAGTACAGTTTTCTCTCTTTTACTCCCATTCCAGCCCACCATGAGATATGCTTGAAAATAATACTTTAATGAGGATATTCTGATAGTCTCTATTCCTTTTTGGGGGTTTAGGTAAAGTTTTGCTCTCATCATCAGATACTATTCAAGAAAAATACAACATGATTTGGTATAAATTAAATGTAAATAAAATGGGCACCAGAATGTAGAAATTTTGAAGACTTAAATTATGTGTACTTGATGTAATTAAAACTATTCAGTTGAAAACAATTTCCAAGAAGTTTTAAATTCCAAAGATGATAATTTGAATTCAAAATCTATAAGTTTTCCCATCATCTTCCTGATAATAAGAATACTATTAAGTAACTTACAAACATAATTTTGCTTTATTTTTTGGTTTTGATTTCCTGTCAGATATCTTTACTACTTCCATAGGAAAAAGGTAGCGACAGTCTCATTCCTATAATAATCCTTCCATGGCATTCTCCTTCTAGGTACATACTGTGGAATATTTTTGCCCTTTTAGAATTTTGTAAAATAAAAAATGGTATTTTTGTATAACATTATATTATATATTTCATCATTAGACAATTTTAGTTTCTTCCTTTATATGTCTGTGAAATAGGAACAAATTTGATAGTAATCATACATCTATTAGAATCTGCCATTTCCATTGCCCAGAACCACTCACATAGCTACATATGTGTGGTACTTATATGCATGTGTACCAAACATCCATTTTGGAATTGATTGACTTCAGATAGGCAGAGATGCTATTTGATGAACATCTAAACTTTTTATGATACAGATCTACTGTACTCCAGTGGGTGTTTACTGTTTTTTTATTATGAAGATGATTTTAAAAGTAATTAAATATTGCTAAATTTCCTAGAACTCATGTTTTCCAACAGGACACAAAAATACATTAAAGACTAATTGAGGCAAATTTACAGTGGTATCCTTCAGATCTGTGTATGAGAAAAAGTGGGAAAAGACTTTGCAGTACATTAAATCAGGGAGGTTTAAGAACCCTTAACATTTCAAATAGATTAATATGATGACACTTTCATGTGATCCTCAGTACAAGGAAAGAAACAAGAGAACTAGTAATAGAGTGAAGAAATAATCTATAATTGAACATTAAAATATAGGTCTGACCAGGAGGAATAAAAAGGTAATTCTCCATCTGACAACTACAAGAAGAAAAGGAAGTTTAAAGATACTCACTTTCTAACTTGGAATTAGTATTGAAAGAGTGTGATTAATATAGTCAATAAGAAGATTTAAGGAGGAACACACTGAAACTTATATGCAGGTTGATTTTCTACGTGGTCACCTGGACCTCGGTATTTCACTTTATTGAGGGCAAGGACTCTGCTGAACAGTGTGCTCTCCTTACTGTGGCAGGCTATGCCGAGGCCCAGTTTTGCTAGAGACTGTGCATGAAGGTGGTAAATGGACAAGTTCTCTAGAAATGTTGCATTTCTGCAATTACTTAAATTAATTGAGTAACTTTGATTTGATCTGGAAGATGATAAAAAGCAGAAATCAGCACCCTGAGACTTGAATTTAAAGAAGGCTCACCCTTCGTCCTCTTGATGGTTACAAGCTTGTACCTTTATCCTCCAGGGTTTTCCTATCATTAGCCCACTTCTGGTCTTATGGCATTGACAAAACATTAGTCTAACCTTAAAATTCAATAATGCGTTAAGCAGAATAAATAGCTACACAGGCCAGTCCAAGGTCGCAGAGCTTCTGTTCCAAATTTTCATGTACTTCATACATATGCATATGCATATGCTTCAGTTTTTAGAAAGAAAGGATTATAATCAGGATAGAAATGAATATTGGAACCCTGACATTTTGCACATTGCTCTGTGTAAAGGGAAGACTGCAGAATCAAATTCTGGATGTCCAAATGTGCTCAGAGTACCAACATGCCTTCCTTGCTACTTAAATATTCTCTAGGACATTGTACACATTTGACAAAAGGGCTGCTGTTAAAAGCAGAAAGCTCCAGCAGAATGTTTGCTCCTGGGTGGAGGGAGAAGGTGGTTAATGTTTGATAAATCCTGGAAATTCAACTCTGGGCAGTGATCATGATGTGACACCTCTTGGTCTATGCGACATTCACTTTAACATATATGCTACAGAAAGAGGCAAAAAGGGGGCAAGTGAGACTTGTGATCTGTGTGAAACAGGATCATTAGCCGGGCCAAGAAGATGCAAAAGCAATCTAAAAACAAGTACAATTAAGCAAATTACAGCACACATCTTACTGCTAAGAAAGGTCAGAATTGGTTGTGGATTTGGGACATGTAGCCTAATTATTACACAGACAAATGTTATTTCTAAGTGACTCTTAAAGAGAGGTAAGCATATTTTCCTTCAGTCAGTGGGTTTTCAAAGTGTAGTCCCAGGACTTCTGCTTCAGCTGACACCTGCAGCTTGTTAGAAAGACAAACTTTTGGACCCTATGCCAGATTTTCCATTCAGAGCTCTGGGGGTAGGATAGTGATCTGTTTTGTGCAGACCTCCAGGTGATTCTGATCAATGCTAAATTTGAGATAAGACTCTTCCTAAAACCACCGTATCTTTATCTCTAGAATATACTCTTCTAAAGCTAAGATTACTTAATGAGAATTTTTGTATTTTATAATATTCACATAGAGACAGTCAAATATTCTGATGAAAAACATGTTACATCCATGTACTTATATGAATTCTGTGTGGACTACTCCTCTGCCCTTTTTATTCTTTCTAGCTTTCACCATTAAGCTGAGTAGTGTATGTACTGGCTCTTCCATCTTTGGGAGTTTTAAGACATACATCTTAGAGATATAATATTTTATGGTATTCCAAGTATTGTATGTGTATGTATAATCTATATTTATATGTAATAATCTGCAGCATTATCTATTCTATCAGTAATCGAGAAAGGAAATGGTAGATTCTTAATGTCTTAGATAAAATGAAGGGGTTAAACTTGATTTCTGAAATCTCTCACATTTCTTAAGACCTATGAATTCCAAAATTGCCGGATATTTCGCTCTCCAATACTCTAAGAATCTTTGTGAACATTGACTGTCTGCTGTTATTTGTACTTTGGGCAATTTGAGGGCTCCTACATAGATTAAGACTTTACCTGAGAAATGGACATAGTACCAGATGCTACCTGTTCCACTAAAGGTAGAAAATTGCTAGGTTCTTGGTATATGAACTGTATTTTTTGGTTTGCAGCCTGGCACTTGATCCTATGAGCCACACCAACTAGGGCTAAGAATTGTATTTTTTATGTTATCAAAAAATATAATTCAGATTCATAATGTAATTTTATATGTATTATCATATACATCAAACACAATTTAACTCTAATTTTATTTTCCACGAATATTCAGCACAAGCCTTTGACTCTAGCCAGACTAGGGTTTTTGTTTGTTTGTTTGATTTTTAGATTTTATGTATTTATTTTCAGGGAATGGGGAAGGGAGGGAGAAAGAGAGGAGAGACATATTAATGTGTGAGAGATACATTGATCAGTTACCTCTAGTATACCCCCTACTGGATACCTAGCTTGCAACTCAGTCATGTGCCCTGATTGGGAATCAAACTGGCAACCTTTCAGTTGGCAGGCCAGCCCTCAATCTACTGAGCCTCACCAGCCAGGGCCAGACTAGTTTTTCATTGTCATGCAAACACATCTTATTTGTAACCATCTTTTATCCTTGGCCTACATATTTTCTTTTCATCTAGAGTTTCTTCCTTTCTACTACCAAACTGATAAAATAAAATGGACTCAGATACTACTTCCTCTGTCCCTGTACTATTTTTTTAAAGACTTTATTTATTTATTATTAGAGAGGTGAGAAGGGAGGGAGAAAGACAGGGAAAGAAACATTGGCCCACAACCCAGGCATGGGAATTGAACCTGCGACCTTTCAGTTTGCAGGCCAGTGCTTAATCCACTGAGACACACCAGCCAGGGCATCTGTCCCTATGTTTTTTAACATGATGCTTTTCATCATCTGAGAATAGGGTTTATATCTATCTATCTTTCTTTTTATTGCTGTACCCCTAGTACCTTGAAGACTACCTGTCATGTAGGTGATGTTTAATATATATTTATTGAATATATTCATAAACAATTCCTGGATTATTATTCTTACTGTGTGCCTAGCACATAATACATGCTTAGTAAATGTCTGAGTGCTTTTGAATAAATTTTTTAAAAACCTCAATTTTCCTGCCTCTTACTGGCTATAGCATTAACTGTAATTCACTTATTTAGTATCTAAAAAATGCTTTGGACTATCATAATTAAAAGATGCTGTTCAAATTGTAGTATGAATATTCCTCTAGTCAAATCGGCAAAACCCTTCAAATATTCTTGGGTCATCTATGATCATCATCCTTTTAACATATTCACCATGTTGTAGATGGGATTCAGCATATTTTTGATGGATGCTGTGTAAATGAAGGGCTAGTGGACCTCATTTTAAGGTAGTTTGGACTTACAAAGCAATGAATACCCAGTTAGTTTTATGCTCTCTCTTTCTTTTCCTGTATGAGATAAACTAGGTTGTAATTGTCGTGACGACTAGTGCCTGATTTGACTGCTCTTCCCCAGAAAGTCTCAATTTTTGGCTGCCTCAGAGCACTGCCTGGGATGCAGCCGGCCCTCCATCCCAAGTGCAGGGGCCCACCCAGCCTCCTTCTGGCACGGAAGGCAGCGGCTGCTCTGCCACCTTCTCTTCAGATAAGCATGGCTTACAAATGCTATCTTTAGAGGTGATGAGTTTTTGTTTGGATAGAATTATGACTAGTATAAAGCCCACACATGCTAACAAGCCACAGAGTGCAAAATAATTATTGAAAGCAATTTGAGAGAAAAGTGGAAAATCATCTGAGGCAAAAACAAAATTCCTGAAGGTTTGGTCCCATTTTTTTGCTGTTAGATTGAATCTTGAGCCTTGGTTTTCTGCTGCCAGGTCAGCTAAGCACTGATGACATTATTCTTTTCTTTGGCTTTTGGAAGTTTACTCTTTTATTAAACCATTCTACCTGACTTTTTGACATTTTATTCAAATTTGGCCATAAAAGATATCATACACCAACCTTACCTTTTAGTGGATAATCAAGTAAAGATTTGCATTTTGGTTGTTTCTTGGTTTTACTTCAATAGCATTTGGGAGCACTGAGTGTTTCCTCTTTATTTTCATCCCTGTTCATACCTTTTCTATAGATAAATAGTCATGTCTGTCTGGAAGGAATCATATGCTCTGCACATAGCCTCAAGGGTGTACACATGAGTTAATGTCATATGTATTATGTTCCATGTAGAGTGGCTAACCCATTTGCAAGTCATGTCATATTCCAGGCTACAGATTTGCCCGGCTTAGGTGTTTAAATGTGTGATTTAAAACCAATGGTACTATCTACTCACCATAAATTTGTTCTAATAGTACTGCCAAATGCCAAGGGGAATAGGCACAATACACAAGTAATAAAGTATATCTGATGGTTCTTAAAGAAAAATTATCCTTAAAGAACAACAGAAGAAGAGAATAGAGTTAATTTCCCTAATGCAAAGGGGGTCACAGATACATTCCAATGGTACCACAGAGTATAAATGTAATATAGGATTTGGAGGGGTGTGCTTATAAGCAGAGAAGCAGCAGAACTCATGCACTTCTCTGGCCTCTCCACAGTTCCATAGCTTAGGCTTAGAACTGTGGAGAGCATAGGTATTCTGCATGCAGCATGGCCAAGGTCCCAGCAGATAGGAGTCTGCCTTAGTTAGCTGGTTGGGTATGTAAGCAAGCACTCTAAGAGTGAAAATGAGACCTGCCCCTACATTATGTTATATAGTCGTAGGTTAGTTGAAGAGGCTCTAGCAAACACTGTTTCTTAACTAAGAAGAAATATGGCTAGGGCACTTCAGATTAGGCAACATGCAAGTTGAGGGCCAAGGTCTATATTCTGAGAGTGCTAGGAACAGCCTTGCATGCCAAAAACAATGATATCAGCCAAAGGTCATGATCTCTCTGGAAGCTGATTTAAATCAGCCAAGCTACTGCTAAGCTACTGAAAGAGGGAAGGCAATCAGCCTCCTGGTTATTCCTATTTTTTCTTTTCAGTTCCCGTTTGGTCAGGGAGTTACCTAACTCCTCATCTTTATACAACTTAAAATCCCATTTCTAGAGTATGAGCCAATAATTCTAACATTTCTAAATGGTCCCAAATACCATTGCTAATTGAATCTGAACATCACTAATTGAAACTTTGAAAATAAATGCATTAACCTGGAGCTATAATCTACAGATAATTAAATTTCTTTTTTGCATGTGTATATGGAAAAAAGGTGATGATAATACTATTGAAAACTAAACCAGGACATTTCATTATGGTAACATAAGATATCTTTGTCCCAAAGATATAGCTTCCTCATATATAGCTTTTTCATATATGTTTCTTCACATATATAGTATATAGTATAGTATATATATATATAAAGTATTTCCACTCTTTGGAAAAGGTGAGATATTGTCATTGGAAAAAGAAATCTGAAGCATAAAACAGAGCCTGCGATGCATTCCTAAGGGGAAAACACATTGGAGTCTTGGTCCATACAAGGAGACATTCTACTGTCTCTTTGCAAGTCCGTGAAGTCTCTACAGTAGTGGTTCTCAGACAAGCATAATCGGTGTCACCTGGAAACTTATTAGAAATGTCAATTCTTGGGCCCTACTTCAGACCCACTGAATCAGAGACTCTGGAGGTGGGACCCAGTAATCTTTATTTTTTAAAAGATTTTATTTTTAGAGAGAGGGAAAGGGAGGAGTAAAGAGAGTGAGAGAAATGTTGATGTGAGAGAGAGATGTCAAGTAGGGCTGATGCCAGTATGTACCCCGACTAGGGACCGAACTCGTAACCCAGGCATGTGCCCTGACTGGAATCGAACACATGACCTTTTGCCTTGCAGGATGACACCCAACCAATGGAGCCACACCAGTCAGGGCAGCAATGTGTATTTTTAACAAGCTCCTGATTCTAACATAAACTAATGTTTGAAGATCACTGCTCTAAATACATCTCTCATGCCCTTCTAATAGAGCATTCTGGGAATATAATTTCAATTTTATAACAATGAAAACAATTTTGTCCTTATAAAATTAGATTGAGCTTTTACAGAAATTAAACCGTATTTTACATTGAGTGACATGAAGGAGATTGTTGTTAGCATTTAAATTACTTTGTGATAGGAGACTCTCATTAATTACTTATGTTCTTGGTAGCTGATGCTTTCTTTGTTGAAGGGACCTGTGCTAGCATTAATAAATGCAAACAAAGTGGAAGGTCCTAGGGTTAATGAGACAGTGAAACATTAATCTGTGTTTTTTCTCAATGTAAAAGGAAGACTCATCAGGTTCACTTTATATATTTCACATTTATCTTTCCAGGAAGAACAAAGTATGCTAGCTATGGAAGATGAGGGCACAGTACAACTGCCATTGGAAGGGCATTACAGGTAAAAACATGCAATTTGAGGAATAGAACGTTTTGTTATATATATTCTACTTAAAACTTTTGTACTATAAGGATTCCTCTAGAGCTTTACTGAAGTTGTATTAGAGTAGAAAGAACTGAAACTAGAAATTAGATTAGCCTGTCCCCGTACTATGTTCTGTCACTAACAGCTATGTGACTGGCCAAGTAGCTTAAAATGAAGAGAGGTAGTGAGTTATTGTTTGAAGTCTTTTCTTCTTTCATATTTTAGTGGATATAAAAGCTCTTTTTCATATCCTCTGAAAATAGTACCTGAAGACAAGTGAAGATTCAGTTCTGGGATAAATGAGCTATGTATTCACTAAACTGACCATAGCTAAATGTTTAAACTCTGGGACATTGTTGCTAAAAGGCACTTCCAAAGAAATAATTTATTTTCTGAGTTAAAGGATTCTGTTTTACCAATCACTTTAGGAAATGTTTATGCATCTCTAAAATATGTGAATTGTCTTCATGCACAAAGGCATAGCAAAAGAAAACAAATTCCTACAAATTATAATAAAAAATTTAAAAAGTGTTTGGCCAAAAATTCTATATATGATCTCAAAGTACTTAAGAAAAATATAAGGCGATGCCAATAAAAAAGCAGAGAAGACTTTTCTCTGAAGAGGAAATTTTGTCATAGTGTTAAAAAAATAGGAGAGAATCTTCTAGATCTTGAGGATCTAACTGTAAAATCATATACCCTAGATTTAAAAAATATAATTATGTACCAATTAGGCATGAGAGCAAATATAGAAAGTATTTTATCTTTTTGAAAATAATATTTAAGTTTTAAAATCCTTTTGATTATTTAGTTGAATCAACATATTCTCAATGCATTCTGTAGAAACCTAGTTTCACATGGTACCTGAACTTTCAAAAGGATTATGTGGTTGAATAAGTTTGGAAAATGTCCTATACTGTATTCCGGCTTGGACATTTACAAATCACATCGGCAAATTAAAAAATCTAAGTAGTACTGCATTAAAAAAAAGTTCAACTGTTTAATCAAGCATTTTCCATACTTGCTTGTTCATAAGACTGTCACGTAATAGCATAAAAAACTGGGTTCCACCTAGTATTTTGGGGGGAATTACTTGATCTTATGCTTTGAGCTACGAAAGGCTGGGTGTTTTAGAGGAATTAAAGAACACTTGTCCAGACTGGACAACAAAAGGGGCCAAGGTTTTGCTCTAGACCCTTAATGTTTCTCTTAAAAGTTGGATTTGCTGCTCTCTGGTGAGCAAACTCCAGTAAGGGTCATGTGAGGTCAGCCTAGGATTTCTTTAGAACCTAATTTTTTTTCACAGCAGAGTACGTTTTCTATGTGTAGTAAGAAGAGTGCTATTTTCTTATTCAGTGAAACTTTCCTTGACGTGGCCTATGATTTATCTCTGCTGCAATTTGGTTATTTGTAGCCCAGAAATATTTTGGAGCATTATGAATGTGACCTATAACTGGTGCCATTTTAAATGCAAAAAAAGCACCCAACATTGTACAGGTGTTGATATTACAAGCTCCCCTAGCCATTGGAAAGACCTCTGCCAAATACACAGGTTGCCTTCATTTATTCAACAATATTTATTGAGTAAGTAGGAAGTGCCAAGCTCTGGGGGAACAGCAGTGGACCAATAGTCAAGAATCCCTCATGAGGAGCTCCAGTGGCTAGTGCACGGTACTTATAAGAATCCCTCATGAAGTTTATAGTCAAGAAGACTAGAGGTAGGGAGAGACAGAAAATAAGTGAATGAAAAAGTAAAATAGTATAGTATTTCAGATAATGAAATATACAGTAAAAACAAGAAGCAAAAAAGAGGAATGAGAGTGCTATGAGGGGATGGAAGTAGAAATTTTAAACAGAGGAATCAGCGAAGTCCTGAGTAGGTGGCATCTAAACAAAGGAGGGAAAGGGCTGTAGCATGTGAAGGAGCATTAGTGTAGTCAGCAGTAGTCGGGAGGCCACTACATTTTGGTGGAAGAGAAAGGGGCAGGGGTGTAAGAGCAGTTGATGCAATTGGAGGGTGGGGGTGGGAACAGAGCCTTATTGTCCATCCACTTGGCTTTTACTCTGAGTGGAAATCACTGTAGAATGTGAGCAGAGTAGTGAATGATTTGCTGTGCTACCAACGTTAGGGGAAGGGGCTAAGCAGCGGACGTGCAGACCCGACTATGACAATTTGAAATGAATTTGGATAACTGTAGCCAAAAACAGTTTCTATGTAGCTAGAATATTTTGTTTAGATTTTCATTTTTCATAACATTTTTAATAATTGAGAAAACTATTTGATACTTCTTAATTTTTAATTATCATAAATACTATACTATATAAGACTGTCCTATATTTATTTCCTATCACTAGATAACTTCAACTACTTATTTAATGTTTATTTCATTTTCGGTAAACAATCTAGAGATGATCCATCTGTGATCAATATTTCTGATGAAATGTCAAAGACTGCCTTGTGGAGGAACCTTCTGATTACTGCTGATAACTCAAAAGATAAGGAGTCAAGCTTTCCTTCTAAAAGGTTTGAATTCTAAAATAATGTGAATTTAAACTGATCCCAGTCATTCTTATGACATGAATCCATTAGCAAAAATGTAATAACTTTTCATCAAATTTATATCTAAAGTGTTTCAGAAAATTCTTTTTAAAAGTGGGTAAAAATTATAATTATCACATTGGTTGTTATATTTTTCATCTCCCTTTCAAATTAAAAGTTCACTCCAAAATGATGACAGTGGGGGGACTTGGTACTGTAAATGAGTCCCAATGCATGACATCTTTGGACATTCACTTTGGCCTACTCTTTTGCAGTAGGATTGTATTGTATCCCCTTATCACTCACTTCCCAAGAACACTGTTGATGTCTGACTACATTTTGCACTCCCTCATGTCCTTTTTAAAACTCACATGGCACATGAAATGGTGGTTTCATATTCAGTACATTTCCAGTTTCCTACTCATACACTTGAAAATCTTCCCTAACCTTCTTACCCCAAAACTTTCAGCTCCAGAAAATTCTGTTCATTCTTACTTACTGTATGAAAATATTATAAACAATTCCTGTAGTTGTGCATGGTAATTTTAAATGCATGCTGGGGGAAGAATGTGTCCTTAAATATCAAGAGTCATCATAGGATTTCCAACGGAATTTTCCAGAATTTATAAATAAGAGTTCAAACCATCAGCCTTCTTAGATGCTGATCTAAAGAAAAATCTCTGTTATGCTAATATCTCTTCTTATTAAAGAGTGTTTGAGGGATTTGGGACAGTGAATAATTATTAATTTCCTTTTATTTTCATGACCTTAAATTAACTTTTTCTACTTAATTTTTATATTACATTTTTGTCATAAGCTCCCCTTCCTAATCACTCTAGAAGCTGATTCCCCAAAGGTAAGACTCTCTCCCTCAAACCTATTCCTTAATTGTATTTCCTTATGTTAAGTGATGTCTCCTAAAACCTGGTCAGCCTTTGTTCTCTGTGTGAGTTTTGGGGAGGCAAAAGACATGCAGAGTCGTGGGCTTAGATCCGGTGTCAGCCTGAGTGTTTATGGCATTCCTATGACGACTCAGCTCTTTAAAAAGGGTTGAAACTTGAGTAAACTTTTCCACCACATGATTTATACAGATACATCCTATGTAAATCAACATACTTCACAGAACTGTATTTAATAATGACATGAAATTTCCATATTGGAAAAGGAGATTTATCCCTTGCATTAAGAGGCTGCAACACTGGGCACTTCCATTTCTGCACCACCATGCTTCCAAACCTGCAGGCTTTGTCTCCTTCCTGAAAAATACTTGGAAACATGGGCCGGAAAAAGAGGCTACATTATGCTTAGAGGGTATCTCTTATTGCTGGTTTTTGTCACCCCAAAATGGCATGCTGCTTCAGTGTCATCTCTAACCCCAACAGCATAAACAAGACAAACAGTAGATGTGCAGAGTTCACTCCCAGAAACCTGGGGATTCATTCTCTGTCTCTGTCTCTGTCTCTCTGTGTCTGTCTTCCTCCTTCCCTCTGCACCCAACCCCCTCTGTCAACTACCTCTAACACTTCAAAGGAGTTTAATGTAAATTACTCAGTAGGCTCTCTCAAAGACTTTTGGTAGATACTTTCTGTCTTTTAACTGGACTTTAAAATCTTTATATATATTTTTGCTTAGCTCAAGCAGAAGTCATAGTCTATTCTAAAACATGCTGTATCTTCCTTTCCCAAAGATCCCTGCTACAGTCTGGGAGAGTCATTTTCACACTGACTCAGTTTTGCTATGAATCTTGGAAGAAAATCAGAGTTAGGAGAGCGGTAACTTCTCAAACTCTTTGAAATATTGCTTATGGACCCTTTAATATTAAAAATATGGCATTTCTCTGATTAAAAAAAAAAGTGAACCCAAAACATTACCAAGCAGTCATGACAGGGCCTAGGAAATCAGAGCAAACAAGAGAATCCAGGATAAAAGAGGGTGGTGGGTGTGGGGGACTCAGGGAGCAGGGAGGGTGGCCCCAGAGCCTGGCCTCTCCCATCAGGGCAAAACCAAGTGCTGCTTTTCCCAGTGTTGCCAGGTACCTTCCCAAGAAATATCGATCTTGGATGTCAGTTTTAGAAAGCATAGCAGTTGCTCACCTATTCTGTTTCCACCAATCCGTTCACTAAGCTGCAGGGGAGCTTGTCCCATGTATGAAGAGCACTGTTGAACTAGGATTAAATTAGACATTCCACAGATATGGTAGAGTTTGCAGTTAGTTCTTAGATCCTTCTTTCACTTAAACTGGATAAAATATTCTTGATAATGTAAAATGAATGAAATAATGGAGAAAGTATAACTGCTATTCCAAACTCCACTAAAAAAGGTATCCAGGTTTCTGTGTTGGGCATGTGTTTAGGCCTTATGCAAGGATGGAAAACTAGGGGTGGGGTCTCAAGAAATACAGACCCTGGTGTCCTGGTCTTTAAGCTTGTTTTTGCCAATGGGTATAGTCTAGCAGGCACTAAATTTTTATGGTTCTTGGTCATCATACTTCAATGTCCCAACAGATACAAACAGAAAGCAGTGGCTTGGGGAAGGTATTGCTGTTATTAGTATTGGTGGTTTTAAGATTTCTGGAAGCCACACTCTTCCCGTCATTTTCCACTGTTATGAAAATGAGAGACTACCACTAACCAAGATATATTTTTTCACATGGAAACCTACAGATTTTATCACATCTAAAGATAAAAAAAATGAATAAACTTTCATTCCACAGTAGTTTGAATCTCATGCTAGTGGGAACATGTGTTCAAAGAATAAAAAACAAGTGGTTATATCAAAATATAAAGGATGATCTTTAAAACTAGACCTGCTCAAAACATATTACTTTGTTCACTAGAGTTAATCTCCTGTCAAAAGTAATCTAGATATGTGCTTTTTTAAAACAACTAGGTTTTTCTAGTGAAAAGCATTACTAGACTTTATTGTTTACTTTAAAGAGTACCTAAAATATCATGACATAAAAACACTTGCTTGAACCAAAGAAAACCAGAGACAGAGTTTGCACTATGGATCCATATCATACCATAAGAAGCATTCAACCGTCTCAAATCTTCCACAAATTCCCATGACTGACATTTATTTTAAACCTATAAATGGGACACCCTTCCTGCTCCCTCATGTACCCCCACTCCCTCTACCTTCTATCCTGGATTCTCTTTCTTGCTTTGATTTGCTAGGCCTTGTCATAACTTTTTGGTTGATGTCATTTATAAGAACTATTTTGGTGTTATTGAAAAATAACAGTTTCAAGATTGCTTAGCAGCATACATGTGGTAGGTCAGGGTTTGCTCTCTCTGAAAATATTACTTTCTTTAATTTTAAATTGTAACTCCTCAAGGTCAAGGACACTGTCTCATCCATCTTGTATACCTTCATCTTTGCAAAATACTATTTAATATAATACATATTACATTAAATATATAATACATGTCATATATATGACATATAATGGCAATATATGGCAATTAATGTTTATTATAATATATAATAGATATGATATATAGTTAATAAATATATGTTGTTTATTATAATGAAAATTTAGAACTGATGGGCATTGAAAAAATCAGTATAACAAGGAATAGAGTAATTGCCATAGGGTAAGAAAATTCAAGTTGATATTTTTTATAGATACTATGAGGTGGTTATAAAATTTCTGCTTCATAGTGTGCTGAAATCTAATTTAATACCCAAATTACTGGTTTTAAAGAAGAAAAATCCCAATCATAATCGGTAGTGGTTTTGTAACCAAACACCCAGTATGAACAAAGCAGGACATCAGCTGCAAGCATGTCTGTGAATGAAGTTGACATTCTGAGTCTCTTTGTCCACCCTTGGTGACTAATAATGCACGAGGAACGTGCTCATTTATCAAAAGATTATATAGCAGGACATTGTGCACACAGGAACTGTGTGTGTATGGGGGCCAGTGTGTTTCTGTCCCCTCAGTCTCCCACAGACAGGATCTGCTATTCTATCTTTCAAAAGACAAGAAGAGTTCATTAAAGTTGAGCATACCAGCCTCAAAAGCTTGGCATTCGTACTACATGTGAACTTGGTCACCTAGTCCCAACTAATTTCCAGACAAGGAAACAAAGTTCCAGCGAAGTTAAATGGCCAAGCCAAAGTCATAGAGCTCATTCTTAGCTCCTGGGAACTGAATGCAATTTTGTGTTCCAAGCCCCCGGCTTCCTTCACTGCCCGCTAATGGCCCTTTCCATTGGCTCTGTTTGGCAGATGAGACTAGAGTCAGGTAAAGCCCAAGGAAAAGTTAATTTGGAAGTGGGGCAGCAGACACTTGTCATAGGAAAGAAACTTAAAGTAGAAGAAAGTGAGTCATTTAGATAGAGAAGTTAAAAATACAGAGTTAAGGCTCTCAACACATCATGTGCACACTGTCATCTCTTCTCATGGAAGGAGAGAAGAGAAGGGAAAAAAGTTGCTTCACTCTGACCTGTAAGTAGTGTGTGCTGAGAAGTGTGGCAGGCATAAACCTGAGCGCCATAGACGCTCGCTCACACCAGCTCTCAGCACTGGCAGCGTGCCACCAATGGCAGAAGCTCCGACACTTCTTACCTGATGGTGCCGGGTGGTGGTGACAACTGAGAAGGGCTGTTTCTAGCTTGAATTGGAGGAAAAAACAATTTAAAAAAACACACTCTCAGAATGTGTCTAAGTTATTGACCATTATAAAAGCTGCACAGGAGGCCCTGTGGAAAAAAAAGGGTTTCAACTGTCACTTTGTGACTTGGAGAATGTTATAAAGCCCAGGATTTCCCCACCAGCAACCATTTCATAAGTTCACATTAAGGGCCAAAGTTAGCAGTATCAATGCCTGGGTAGTCCGAGCTCAGGGCCTCAGAGGGTGCCAGCAGCAGAGGGGGACACAGAGCAGCTCGGATAAGGAAGGCTCTGCCCGGGGCTGGAACTGGTGGGGGGCAGCACTCTGCCCTTCTGGGAGCACACACATTTGGTGTGGGCTTCGTGGATAGGAGCACATTGTTCGAATTTTACATAAAAACTGTCAACATGAGAGTAGGAAAAATAAATGATACTGAATAAAAAGAAGATGCAAATGGGAGAGTCACATTACCAGCTTGCCCATTAATAAAATTAAGTGAAGAATAGATAGAATAGAAGCCGCTTGAGACAGTTGATGCTGGAAGAGGTAAGGTAAGACATTGCTCCTGTGCTGGACAGAGTTTGTCTGTGAAGGGGCAGCATAGGTGTCTGGCGGGCAGCACAAAGGGTGACCGCCTCATTCCAGGCCTGCAGAGGTGTGTCTCCTACTGACCAGGACGCAGTTCTCACCGAGAACCAGGATCCAGTTCATGCACCAAGGAAGGGCCTCTTGCAGTAGAGCCCAGAAATAGCTTCTGTGACACCTTGGTTGTGTCATTTATAGAGCCAGTACTATCTTAAGACAAGGCATGACTGGAGTTTTCACTAATCAGCAGTGATTCATTTGCCCAAATGAAAACCATGGTATTAATCTTGTCTGCTTTGGAAACTGTTTTAAAAATGTCCAGTTTTTGAATTCCTCCCTTTCTGCAATTCTTGTTCTCTATCTCACTTAGTACAGGGGATTTTAATGGTTGCTATCTATCTATGTATGCTTTGGAGCATGAAAAAGCAATGCATAGGTTCCCTTGTACTGCTTTGGGGTCGGTTGGTTTTGTGTCTGAGCAAACAGATCTTACAGTAGCCATGCTGGATTTCAGTAATAAATGTCTCCTTTTTCTCCCCTCTGTAGCACTGAAAGCCGAAAAGAGAAGAAAGCTGACTCACAGAAAGGTGTTGACAGGGAGACTTGTCTATGACTTGATCTTCAATTTATTTTTTATAAATATATGAGAAGAGTGCCACAATTATTAATAAAACTGCTTTGATCATGTATTGTAAATTCTGTCTCTCATCCCAAACCCACCTTCATACTGTAAGTAGTGCACTACTTGTTTCATTTCTGTGTTTAAACTTCTGAGCACTGAGACACCCTTGTGAGCATTTACAGTAGCTAATGCAAGAACCTCTGCATTGCTTGTGTGTGTGAGGCATTTGTAAACACTAGATCCTCATTGTCAGTTTTATGAGAGCAATAGCTTTCTTAAAGAGATAAGTAATATTTACCTAGTTTGTATTTTCTTACTGTAGTGACCTGAAGATGCCTGGTAATTTCATTGAGAAGAATTTTGAAAGGTAGTCTTATTTTTTATAGATTAGCATTAGTGACTTATTTCAAAAGACCCAAATCAAAAATTTAGTTGGAAAGCATTTTTTAATAACTGAATTATGCACTTGCTTGATTTAATATGATACATTTAATACTTCAGAATTTGTATGTAACTAAAATTTAAATTTGACAAAATACAGAGAGACCTATTCACAACTTGTTTAAAAGAATCAGACATTAATGCAAAGAGTCAAGTAGTATTTGCTTAAGATTCAAGTTGTGCTTACATAATCAAATATTAGTCTTGTATGGAAATTCTTTAGAAAACCAAGTTTTGTGAGATTTCCCAAACACCTTTATCAGAAATGTGCTGTTAAATTTCTCTCCTATTGGCAACAGATATGTTCCAAATAAACCTATCATATATATATATGTGTGTGTGTGTGTATATATATATACATATACATACATATATACATATATATACACATACATACACACACACATATATACATACGTATACACACACACACACACATACACACACACACACACACACACTCGTGGAATACCAACGGTGAGTCACTGCACATGAAACCCCACTCCTGTGCAGTTGCTCTGCTGCTAAAAGTAGTGTGCTGCTAATGCTGCTCCTGCATCACGTTCGGATGTTAGACTGATGGGTCTCTCATTGACATTTTTTTCTGTAAAGCTCTTTTCCACTTTTTAATTAAATACATGTTGTAAAAAATAATCTTTTAAATGAAATTTTTAGATTCTGTTTGAAAAGCTTCTGTAGATATTTCAGTTCATATGAAATCATCTTTACTAAGCTTATCCACAGGAAGAAAAGTCAAGAATTTTTGAGCATTACTAAAAATACAGTGTTTCTTTTGTTTTAGATGAATGTCAAATTAACAAAGACTATGTCTCATAGTACTCTTGTTTCCTAATAATCATCAGTGATCATCAACATTATAATCTTCAGTGTCCAATTTCATAATCATTTAAAGCCCTGTCCTGAAAGCTATTAATTACATATTTTGTGTATAAGTGTGCGTGAAAGTGAGCAACAACAGCAATGAAAAACAAATGCTCTTGTGATTAAGCTTATGAGGGAAACAAAACTATCACAAAGCCTTCATTAGGTTCAACATTTTGATACCTTCTGAAAAATTCCCCTCACAATCTCTTAAGGAGCCATTTATTTTATGGAACATAAGCCTAAAAAATACAAGAAGAATATGCCGTTAATAAAGTCTGTGTTTATAAATGCCAAGGGAAAAATACAGAAACTTTCCATTCTAATATGTTGCCTTTGTGTATTTTATAATACAGATACTATATCGTAAACATTCCCCATTGTTTTATGATTTAAACTAGTTGTACATGCCAGTCAGTCCCATAAGCAGCCTCTTAGTGTTTTAATATATTAATAACCATTCTGTTCAAAATGATCATAGTGAAATAAAACCTTCACATGATCACCTATTTGAATAAGCAATCATATCTGATGAAATTCTGTATTTCTGAGTATTTTTATAGTCATTTTGTTTTCATGTGAATCTTGATATCCCTATGTTAATCCTAATATTTTGAAATCATATAAAATATAGGAAAAATGTAGTGCTATATATTTCCTCCTAATTTCAGATTCCTGGTCAAAATTAGTGACTATCTTGAATGTAATTTATTGCAAAGTAATGTGTAAATGTGACTAGGATATTGTGTTTTTCACAATAAGAAATGTTATGTGGAAATAAATATTTATCCTAACTAATTTTCTTGCACATTTTAAATTGTGACCCAAGTGTTTTGTCTTTTCTATCCTGTAGAGTTAATTAGTAAATTGATGTAGAACATTTTGATTGTTTGAATCTAATACTTGAATTTAGACACCCGTGATATAAAGAAAACTTGGTAGACATTTCAAGAGTATCAATACAGATTGAACTTTATGAACAGAACATTTTGAGAGCTGTATTAGAATGTATGTCTTCATTTTCCCATAGAGCAGTACTGGTCCCATAGCATTGTTCACCATGACCCATAAGAGTGTCCAATGTCATTAGTAGGATTTCTCATTATTGGAACTTCTTACACTTCTCTTTTTACCCACCATGGCAAAAGCATTTCTTAAAATCTGTCTCTTCCCTGTCTATCACAGTAGGTCAGTTGACCCTTATTCTCTTGTAGCCATCTGGCTGTTTGTTGGGGAGACAATTGCATTCAGAACATTTGGGTTAATATTTTTCTCTTGACTTGTGAGTTTACTTTGAAATTGCTACCATTTCACAGCTTTCAATATTGGGAAGCTTTTTCCTAGATGTAATCTGAATATTTCCTCAGTGTAGTTTAAATTCATACATAGCCTGATAGAAACGAAACTTCCCACTGACAAGCCACAAGCAACTCATATTTCAATGTGATCTCTAGATCTTAGAGAATTTCTTTTGGCTCTTGAAAGTGGGGCCCATTTTTTCTTTTTTCTTTTAATATATCTTATTGATTATGTTATTATAGTTGGCCCATTTTTTCTCCCCTTTATTCCCCTCTGCCCTGCACCCACCATCCCACCAGCATTCCCCCACCTTAGTTCATGTCCATGGGTCATACATATAAGTTCTTTGGCTTCTCCATTTCCTATGCTATTCTTAACCTCCCCATGTCTATTTTCTACCTACCATTTATGCTACTTATTCCCTGAACCTTTTCCCCCATTCTCCCCTTTCCCCCCATTCTCCCCTTTCCCCTTCCCCACTGATAACCCTCCACGTGATCTCCACTTCTGTGATTCTATTCCTGTTCTACTTGTTACTTAGTTTGTTTTTAGGTTCACTTGTTGATAGTTGTGAGTTTGTTATCTGCATTGACTTACTTCTCTTTCTGTTTAACTTTAGCCTATTTGCTCCTGGGCACTTGACCATTTTATTATAATTGTCAGGCTGCTCTCCATATTTTCCAAAATATCCATCTCATATATTCACACAATAGAATGAAATGAGATGACAACCACTTGAAAATTTTATGAATGTAATTTGGATAATATGATGATTCTCTAACTACCTACTTTGAAAGGCTACTTGTAATCAGTCCTCTTGAAGAAACCCAACATTCCAGGTTATGGTAATACTTTATTTTAGAGATTTCTTTGGGTGTTTCCTTAAAAAGCTGTAGCCCACTGATATAACTGTTACTCCAATTCAGTTGTTATTGGTTCATTGGCCCCTATCCTTTGGGCTGGAACTTTGAAAATGGCACTGCGATGCTTGCTTTTAAGGGCAGGGCAGACAACATAGCTAAGTTGGTGTTATGATTAAAGCAGTGAATAAATCAAGGATGGAACTTTGAGTAAGGCAGAGTTTGAGGAAAATGTTATATGAGGTAGCATATGAATTAGGATGGAAATGGGGCAGGAAATCTACTCCAAGAACTGCAGAGATTCCCCATCACATGTCAGCATTGAAATAAAAATGAAACAAAGAATTAAAGTATGTGTTATAACTGGATCCTGACATATTTAGTATATGGCATATTTGGAAGCCAACAAACAGCTCGATATGCTGGAGTGTTAGGAGGGTAGTGGAGACCTGTAAGAAAAGTTAGGAGCACAGGTTGAAAACATAAATCATGTTGAATTCTCTATTAGGATATTTGAATTTTATCCATTAAGAGTTTTGAGTAATGGAGAAGCATGGGTTTTTGGAAAGTTTAGTCTGGCTGCACCGTAGAGATTACTGTGGAGAAAAAGTAGAACCGCTTCCTCAGGGATGCTGCTCCCAGGATGACTTTCAGAGGCTTAAACAGAGCTCCTTGGGTCCTTAATTGGTCACTCCAGATATGATAGCTTTGTTATAAATCCTTTTATGTAGAGAACTCCTGGGTATAAAATATCTTGGGTTTTATTTGAAAAAAATGTTCTGAAAAACATGATATCAGCAGTAATTCTGAGACTATGAATGAATGAAAGCTATATTCAGTACAAAGTTCAGCCAATGTCTGGCTCATCTGGGTCCAAAACCACCTGCCCTCTGCCCATCCTTTTATTCTCTTCATTACATCCACTTTTACCACAGACTTAGCTTTGTATCGACATTGTCTTGCCATCAAGTATGGCTGTAGTCATAGATGTCTGCCATGTGACTTACTTCTGTCATTTGTTTATAGCTCCCTGAAAGTAGGAATAGTGTTTCCCCCTCTCCTTTGTAACTCTCTAGGGCCTAGTTCTGTGATCTTTTCCCCCCAGCAAAGGATGTGGACAGAGTTATAAGTCCAGTGTGTCAGAAGATCAGTTTATTAAAAAGGATTAAAGATCCAAAAAAGATTCTCACTTATATGCTAGTATTTGAACAAAAATAAATGCTTCTTTTTGAAGGCGTGTCTAGCACCTGCGGACACCGAAGTCTCAAGTGAAAGCCCATGCAGTCTATGGAGCATCAGACTGAGAGAAGAAGCTCAATAATTGTGACTAGGGGGAGGGAGAAGGGGAAAGGAAGGTGCCGGGCATAAGACACAATGCCAGACACAGTACCTATATCACATATACGACAAGGTCTGTCCAGAAAAAGTCCAGCCACTCATTAATATAATGAGAATGGTTTGTACAACATGTATGGAACCTGGCAGGCAAGAAAAGTGGGCTGGAATGCACATGCATGAACAATGATGACTTCACTGTACCAGTCAGTTGGGATGGTAGATGCACTGAGTGAGCATGTGTACTGTGTGGCTGTTGCATTCAAAATGACTGAGTGAATAGAGTAGTGAATCTGCATCAAATTCTGCATTAAGCTTGAACATTCCTCTGTGAAAACTATTTGGAGGATTCAGAAGGCAGTAGCTCTGGGCAACTGCTGATTGGCAGCTTTATCACCACAGTGTGCCCGCTCATACAGCATGTTTCATGCAGAGTTTTTTTGGTGAAACATCAAATCACCCAAGTGACTCAGCCCCCACACAGCCCATATTTGGCTCCCTGTGACTTCTGGCTATTCCCAAAACTAAAATCATCTTTGAAAGGGAAGAGATTTCAGACCATTGATGAGATTCAGGAAAATACAACGGGGCAGCTGACGGTGACTGGAAGAACTGTGTGAGGTCTCAGGGTGACTACTTTGAAGGGGACTGAGGCATCATTATCCTATGTACAATGTTTCTTGTATCTTGTATCTTCTTCAATAAATGTCTCTTATTTTTCATGTTACATGGCTGGATACCTTCTGAACAGACTATACCATATTTTTCTGTGTATAATGCATGCCCACATTTTTGTGTGCATTATACACAGGATTATGATACCCTTCATTATACCCATGGTATGTAATCATTATACCCATGTATAATGCACATCCTTATTTTTCCCTCAAAAATTTGGGCAAAAATTATACATTATACATGGCAAAATATAATGTGTATATATATACACACACTTCAAATTCAGAAACTGGGGTTCAAGGAGGCTAAGTAATGGTCTTTAAAATGT